CAAGAATAAAATGATTTCCAAAATCGCTTTGTTAACCAGATATATTCTGCCATTTTGTTTTTTTACAAAATCATTTTTATCTTTGCATTTTTTTCGAACGATATTTATGAAACTTAGTATGTAGTAGTATTTATGTAACTTTGGTATGTAAACAAGACCCATGCTAGAAAAAAAAATCATCTTGGCGGCAATTTTAATTTCTTAAACTTAAATTACACAAAAACGGCAGATTTTATGAAAAATATGTCAAGCACACTTTTATTTAGCATTTTTTATTGTCCCTATGAAACACCAAGTTCAAAAAGATCTATTAAGACAACTAAAACAACTATTTGCTGAACGAATAGTGTTTTTGACACCGAAAATATAAATCAGCCTAGGTCTTACCATGCCACCTTAAGTAATAGCTACTTCCCTATAGGAAATTTGCTAAAAATACGGTAGTTCATGATCCAGTCTTAGTATAGTCATGGTGTAGTAAATTCCATTTACTACTTTTTGGCGAATTTCCCATTTAGGAAATAAGCTATTACTGTATTACTCATGGTAAGATGTGGACCCAGGACCGATTTACTTTTTACTTTCTCCCCCTATACCATAGTATATGGAGAAAGTATTGTTTTCGTCAAAATTTTCGAGTTTGAGTTTTGAGTGGATATATTCGTTTTGGGTCCCCCTGGACCCAAAAAAGTGGTTTTCGAAGTGATGTCTGTGTGTGTGTGTGTGTGTGTGTGTGTGTGTGTGTGTGTCTGTGTGTCTGGATGTGTACAGAGCTAGAGACCACACCTGTGGTCCGATTTCGATGAAATTTGGTATGTAGGTTCTAATCCATGGTACCTCCAGGCGTTTTTTTCCTTTTTTTGAAATTTTTATTTTTAATGGGGATTTTCCCATAAAAACCCATAAAAAACCGGAAAAATCGGATTTTCTCGAAAATGGCCCGAACGATTTTGATAGAAATTGAGTATGTTGTAGCCCTTTAAATTCTGAATAAAATGGTACAAATCCCATATCTGTAAAAATTACGGTTCAAAAGTTATGGTCAAATATGTTATTTTCCCATAAAACCCCATAAAATAACAAAAAATAGGATTTTTGAAAAAATCCGGTTTTTTATTTAACATAGTATGTTATAGTCTTTACAGTTTTGATAGTTTTTTTTTAATTTTTTAGAAATTTTTTTTAATGGGGATATTCCCATAAAACCCTATAAAATAACGGAAAAATGATTTTCCCAAAAATGGCCCGAACGATTTTGATAAAAAATTAGTATGTTATAGTCCTTTATATTCTGAACAAAATGGTACAAATCCCATTTCTGTAAAAATTACGGTTCAAAAGTTATTGTAAATTATGTCATTTTCCCATAAAACCCCCATAAAATAACAGAAAAATCGGATTTTCACAAAAATGGCCCAAACGATTTTGATAAAAATTTAGCATGTTATAGTCCTTTAAATTGTGAACAAAATTATACAAATCCCATTTGCGTATATTTACTCTCACCACTTACGGTATGAAAAAGGTTTTTGACAAACTTATGGGAGAAAGTATGTGTCAGAATGCTGATACCGTTTATTTTGTTTTGAGGTCCCTAGAGGCCAAAAACACCATCCGTTCATTTTAATATATATCAATTATTAAGGGTTTTCCTATATTTGACCCTAAAAACATAAAATTTAGCAACTTCCTTCCAAACCATTTTGTAGAGCTTAAAAAAAACAAATAATTTTGTATATTGAAGCGGTATTATGCGCCTAATGGCTAGGGAGAACATAGTTAATTTAAAATTCCCATGTTATTCTTATGGAGAAAATTGTAAACTGTTGTAGTTTGCTTGTTTATGAGCATATTTTGATCAAATTTGGAAAATGCATTAATTTCATGCTAAACTATTAACATTTTACAAAAAAACACCTTTTTACCCTTCCTGTTGCAACAAACCTAAGTCCTCGTTAAACTAACGCTATTTAAATAGGGAATAAATGCGATATTTTCTAGGAGACATTTTAGTGTAAATCCAATCAGGCAAATAGTCGCTTAGTCTGCAGGTTTGCTGCGGCGGGGGTAGTTTTATTGCTGGCACAGTTGATCTTGATAGGTCATTACAGTTGCTACAGCTCACAATAAGCGGTTCCATCAGTAATTTGCATCAGTACAATCTGTCATGGCTCACATCAAATGTGACAATTTCGATCAAAAAAATGTGCGACAATCAATTATTTAAGATGTGGACGCCACTATGTGCATATTTTAACCCAAATATGAGTGAAGGATGAGTGTAGGATGAGTGGCACGATCTTGTAGTCTTATTAGTGACTAAGGTCGACATGTTCCTTAGACACAGCTTTTATTTAATAGCCCATACAGCTAATGGCAACTAAGGGACTAAGGGGGTTTATAGTGGAATCCGAACCACATTTTTTCCTTGTAATTAACGAATTGGTCTAATTATCAGGATAGTACTGTGGATAGTCGTAGTTCTCACTAGTGTGGACATTAATCCACACTAGGGAGTTTTGCATCAACAGTGCATGCCTCTATAAATATCCACAATTTGTTACATCTTAAACATAGGGATGGAATGTCTAGTTGTATCAATAGGCTAGGTTATACCTAAAGCATCTAATGTAAGTAACGGAAAGGCCTATTTGTTAATAAGACTGTTTGTAAACCACGATGGAAACCATTTCGGGAGCTGATACTTATACAAAGTAAAAATAAGAAGATAACGAGGCTGCTAACAGACTGTCAAACTTTGCTTGAACTATGTTGTTCAGTGGCCTTAAGCCGGGTTTTCCTAGATGCGTAAGCAGAGCGAGGAGAGAGGATCACAGAGAACGGACTAATCTTGTCTTAAGTAATTTTAATGTTACTGTTTTCCTAGAAGCGGAGCGGAACGCCATGTTAATCGCTTTTCCGCTCTCCTCTTTCGCGTCTAGGATAACCCGGTTTTAAAGGGGTTTGATGGGGCATGAACAGTTGCTATTGATGGGTAGGTAGAATATTTAGTAACAAGACAGAGCTAGGACTTTTGGGATGATGGTTGGGGTTGGGCTGTGTCTTTTCAGTTAAGATGAGATCTCTCCAAATAATTATCAGTAACTGACATACCGGTAAACTTAATTTTGAAATTTTTTATCACAATTTTATTCAATATCTGTTATTTCCTTTTAAAATGTGATAACTATAAGCCAAGCATTTGTTAGTCTCTATGCATTGACAAATCTTACATAAAAATATTTCAATGAAAACAAAATATAAAAATACAAAATGAAATTAATTCAACAAAAGTGTGAGCTGAGGTCTAGATAACATGAGTTTTTTTCAGTCGGTATGTAGCGGTACAATTGTCCAAGAGGTTTTGAGCCGGGGGATTAGGGGGACTTCCAAGTTTTTTTAAAGGTTTTTTCCACTAAATTAAGTTGTTATTTCTTCTTCAGTCGGAATTCTACTGTCAATAAGAAGGATTTTGTTATTGATATACCAAGGGGCTAGCAGGATGAATCTTTTTAATTGAAATCTATGTATGATATTTATGTTTTAAATAATTGCATTTTAAATTTATCAAAACTGAACATTTAAAATTCCCATGTTATTTATATGGAGAATATAATATTTATATGAATAACTATGATAGCCTACAAAAAAAGAAGAAAAAAACACAGAAAGTTCAAATTTAGAGGAAAATTTCTACATGGGCAGAGCCTGTGCGAAGACCGAATTGCATAAAAATTATAAATTAATATGTGGAAAAATTTACTACATAAATTTATTGTGTTTTTTTTTTATTGTAACCTCCTTAAGTTCACCAGATGGTAACATAAAACTGATACAGAGCAAACCTCTTTATAGTATTACAATTTCTTGGGTGTAGTCACTTGTGGTAAAAAATATTCCATACACAATCAAGTAAATTTTAATTGAGTCTCACTTTCTTTTAGTTTACATCAAGTTATCAATATACTTAAAATACGAAACTAGCCTAAGATCTTAAAAATAAGCTTTAATAGAAAATCCATAAAAAAGTATCAAGAAACGCTATAACGTTATCCATCATTGCATCATTATGCGAGTCATTCATTATGTGTATCATTACAAAATTTAAAATCATGTAGTTAAGAAGATATGTGGAAACCATATTCTGATATTTAACACTTTCATAATGGTAATATCATTTATCATTTAGCTCATCCTTACATTACATATACAGTACTCAATTATCATGGTATCTTATGAGCTCTCTAGATATTTGACATTTATTTGAAATTACACACTTAAAATTGTTTACAAATTTGTCCAAGTGTCCTCTATCATAACACTATGATATCCTCTTAAAAATTACAAAATCATTTAATTAAGACATTGTAAAGGAAACATTTGTCCATTTTATATTTGTTCACAGTAAAGTCATATTATAGTATTTACTTGCTATATCTTTAGTACGAGTACGGTGCAATTAGACACAAACATCAAAATCCAAACTGAAAGCTAAATTTTGACCCCAAACTGTTTAAGTACCCGTAATGTATAGTAAAAGTTACATTTTGTTAGTCAGGTTTGGAAGAACTGTTAAGGAGTAGGATAATTTCTCAAAAAATATTTTTGTAAAATAGGTTGTTTTAAAAGTTATCAAAGTTATTGAAATATTTCATACAAAGAAAAAGAACTACTAATTTTTTTAACATAAACCACCCTCTCCCCCAAACCCAAAGTTCAATATTGTGTTACTTTTATCATACAATACAGGAATATATTACATAGAACAGTTTTGATTCATAAGCTACCTTTCACTTCTGATATTGAGATTGGGTGTTTTTTTTTTTTTTTTATTGCACCGTACTATACTAGATTCTTAATGACAAACATAAAATAACAAGTTCACAAAGTTAATTAATACTTTAACCATAACATATCCACTTCTAATAGAACTTAAAAAATTTTATAATTGGCTAAAAACATAAACATAAATATAATCATGTATGTGGAGTACTAATTTATCTAAATGAATCAATTGTTTCCTATAAATTGTAAATGGAAATATATTACATAAATATATATAGGCTATATATATATACAATATATTTATATACCTGCTGACATACTGACGTTAGCAGTGATCAAGTGAAAAATCTAATAAAATACATAACATAATAGATTATTCAAGTTTTTACTTATTAAAGAGGCTGATTCTACCCAGCTGAGGGACGAAAACCAAACATTTCTAAGCTTCATACACAAAATTTAATTGCCACACAATTTGAACAAGTTTCATGTAACTTTAACTTCATTTAAATGTACCTTAGGACATTTTACTTTTAGCATTCAAAAAACGTAAACTCATATTGGAGATTGCCTTCATGCAAAACATTATATAAGGCGCTCTGTGGAATTCTCATGCAATTTTCTTTAACATCTGAGTAACATATCTTCCTCTTCTTCTTCCTTTCTTCTTCCTGTTCTTCGTAACACTTCACGACAGAAGCCTTTAATGTAGATACAAATGAAAACTTATTTTTTTCACTCTTTACTTTTACAAAATATTCGTTTTTTAACTTTCCAATCGGGGTTGCTTCAAAGGTGAATTCCAAATATTTCTGGTTTACATGATTAGTTTGGGTAAACCAGAATATATTATCAAACACGAGGATAAGGAGAACACTATTACGGTATTTCTCAGGTTTAAACTCTTTCCAAATCATAGATTTAGATGAATTAGCTGTGTACTTATGAAGTGAGCCACAATGCTCTTTCTCATAGTGATCCACCAGCTTTATCAAAGGAATCACAGTGTTGCAATTGTGGTACCTACACTCCGCAGGTCTGAAACCACAGAATTCCTCATGGTCACTTCCGGGCGTTAGAATGTCTTCACAACCATCTCCATGGTACTTGCAATGACGAGGTATGGCTTCCAGAATGTTTTTTAAACACACAGGATTCTCTGTTGTAAAAGGAGCTTCACATGTCGGGCAGTCATTTAACTTCTCGCAACAGCTGTTGCAAACCCCATGACCTCTGCTGCATGTCTTAAATGGAATTTGGATGGTGTCCAGACATACTGGACACTCTACAATCCTTTGCAGAGATGATGTGATGTTCTTTAGTGTACAGTTTTCCTGTAAAGAAAATAAAAATTATCATGAACAAAAATTATGAATTATGGTTTATTTATTCTACATAAAATTGAGAATATATTTGAAAAAATATTCACAATTTTAACAATAACTTATTTAGAATTTAACAAACATAAGTAACACAAGTATAGGGCCGTACCTAGATGCTCCTTTGTACGTGGCAAACATTACCCCCCTGCAAGGAGCCCTCTGGGGAAATCCCCCGGAAACTTGTGAAGTTTTAACATCAGTAAAATACATTTTTAAGCAATTCTGGCTCATAAAAAACATAAAGAAATAATTCATATTTTGTCATTGAAAACTCAAATTTAACTTCTTGCTGGACTATAATGATTTATATATGGTTTATGCTTAAATGGTTGATTAAAAGATATATTATTATGAAACATAATCATCCGTTATCCCAATTTTATCACAATGTATAATAGGCTACATAATTAAACAAAACAAAAGTATCCCTTTTCGTGGGATTTAATTTTAATAAGTAAGTTACAGCACTCAACTCAGAAAAATATTTACAACGTTACAATAAGTACAACTTGTACAGAGTTGTTTACATAAGGCCCATGTTATACGGACAGCAAGAACGCGACAGATAAAACGCCGACGCTGAACTAAAAATTCAGTGCTGTTATACGAGCAGCAATAACGCCGCGTCGTCGACGCCAGGGAGCTGTTTAGGCCCATGTTATACGGACAGAAAAAACGCGACAGATTTTTCATTTTTCAACGCAACAACAGTATTGCACAACTGGCGCCTGGGAACTACCCTGTCGGAGGAGTATGGTGGAGGTGAAGCACGGATCTGCCACGTAAAAGCTGCCCGTATAACAGAACTCGCGTCATTTCTGTCACGTTTTTTCTGCCAGTTTTACCGGTCCGGTCGCGTTGGCGACGCTGACGCTGGGTTTACAGTGTCCGACGCGATGGATAAAACGTTCGTATAACTTGCACACGTGACGTCCATTGCTCGGTAGGCTTGGCCTCTACGCGGCGAAAAATCTGTCGCGTTTTTTCTGTCCGTATAACATGGGCCTAAGTTCCAATAGTTCTGCACTGGACTGGAGTGTGGGAGGTGATCGGGGCCTTATTTTTGAAATGGTTGACTGTTGAGTTGAGTGTTGAGTCACTCACATTTGTGCTCACATTCCAAACATTTTGTATTTTTCAAACGATTGACAGTTGACTTATCCAACCAAAACTACTCACCACATATTGTGTTGTTGAGTGGACAGTTGACTGCACTTTCTTCTTCTCTTGGCAAAAAGCTTTACTATTACTAACTGAGATTAGAGGTTAGGTATTTGTTGTCAATAATAATGAAATAGTGTCCAATATTTTATTCTATCGCTTGCTTTCTGTAGAATAAATTGCATTTTTATTTACTGTGTCAATACTAAACTATCATCAAATCAAAGTTTGTATCCTTGTTGGGATTTTTGCAATATTTTAAATAGACTAGGCCTACACTAATTAAACTTATTATAAGATAATTGTTATTATGATTTATTAAAGATTGTGGTTAAAAGAAACACAATTAGTTTATTAGTTTGTTTCAATTGCATAATACACCTAATATAGGGATCAAATTTATTTAAGTTACTATGCTTTCAGTGCATTGGCAAATATAGCTTTAACTTAAACATCAAACACAATTAAAAATAAGAAGAAACAAAACGATGAAGGGAACTAAAATATGGTGATTATTTTCTTAGACAGAGACGAAGAAAGCAAATAATTTATCATACAGGTATAATTATAATGAGGTATAGCATAAAAAAAGCCTCAATAGTTAACTTCATTTTGAATACTTAAACAAGGTACTTTTGCAATCACTAAAGCTGGGTTTTCCTATGCGCGGAAGCGGAGAGTGGAGAGAGGAACGCGGAGAGCGGACGCCACTTGTCTTAGGTAATTTAATGTTACTGTTTTCCTAGAAGCGGAGCGGAACACCATGTTAATCTCTTTTCCGCTCTTTGCGTCCCTCTTTCCGCTTCCGCGCCTAGGAAAACCCAGCTTAAGATTATGACATATTAACCTCATTCTCTACGGATAGAGCGATGACAGTTTACCTCAGTTTTTCAAAATATGATAGATTGAGTTGAGATTCAGATTTATTTGCTGAGAAGAGGAACCACAATTTAGAGTGAGAGGTTAGCTCGAAGCTCGCAAGCCGCTCTGCACTGTGATTGGTTCAAAATTATGTCATCTATATTTCGTGCGGTTGTGCCTCTTTCATTTCCAAAAGAGTCACTCAACTAGTGACTACCCAACTCTCTTCTCAACTGTTGGATTTCAATAATACCAAATCCAGTTGTTGGTTGAGTTGAGTGTAGACGATTGACTCAACTCTCAACCATTTCAAAAATAGGGCCCCCGGTGTGACAACTGACAAGTGACAGGCTTGCAAATTACACAGTTATACGCCCAGCGTTGCAAACCTAGAATAAATTATTAACTTGTACACGAAAATAGTGTCATGCTTATCGCCGGGCCTAGCGAGAACCCTGCGCCCACTTTCTGTTCAACTACAATAGTTGACATTGTGGGAATTGTTAATAAATCAATAAATCACATTAAACAACATAAAATACCGTTATTATACCATAACACAAGTGTAGCCTAATATAAAACTTTGATTTCTAATTTTTATCGTTTAGCTCATCAATAAAAAAAGTAAAATTTGTCCCTCTTTCCCATTTTGCGTTGTTGTCCAACCGGCGCCCATTTTGCGCCCTTGTCTAACCTGCACCCTTGGCAGGGGCCACCTTCACCACAGCCTAGGTACGGCCCTGCACAAGTCAGAGAACATTATTTTTTAAATGTGACTAAGCTGCGTGATAAAAACTTGAAAAGCGAAAAGATATAAAGATTATAATGTTGTACGGTAGTTAGAATTTCATGTTTGATTATGTCTGTGGAATCAGCAGACATAGAAAATCTCTGCCTGTGCGGCTGCTGGGTTACAATAATAGTATTTTTTTTTTACTGCTTATGGCAATTATATTAATGTATCTGCAATCCTAAAATGATATGGGAAGAGAGGGAAACAGGTCCACGATGTAGGAAGTGGTGAAGGAAGTCTAAAGTCTGGCAGTGCAGAGTGTGGGAATTGTCTGAGGCAGTTAGATGAATGTATCTGCAATACTTAAATGCTATGAGGAGGGAAGGAAATAGGTCAACGACATAGTGAACGAAATGGTAAAGGAAGTAGTAAATTCAAGCACTGCGGAGTGTGGGGACTGTTTGTGTCAATTAGATTAATGTATCTAAAATACTAAAATGCTATGGAAAGAAAGGAAAACAGGTCCACGACGTAGTAAGTGGTGAAGGAAGTAGTAAAGTCTGGCAGTGCAGAGTGGGGGAACCGTTTGTGGCAGTTAGATTAATGTATCTGCAATACTTAAATGTCATGAGAAGGGAAGGAAACAGGTTCACGACGTAGGAAATAGTGAAGGAAGAAGTAAAGGCTAGCAGTGCAGAGTGTGGAAACTGTCTGTGGCAATTAGATTAATGTATCTGAAATCCTAAAATGCTATGGGAAGAATAAGAATAAGAAATATTTATTTCCATTGATCTTTATAAAAGAAATAGGACACGTCACTGTTATACATAGTTACAAGGGGATTCAGTGTTTACAGTACAAAATATCTAAATTTAAATAGCCACTTACATGAAAATAACAGTTTTATTTCTACTTACTCTTCAAAATCTAATATTTATTTCACAACTTAAAAAATCATCAATTTTGTAAAAGGGATTTTTAACAATCCAGTCATACAGTTTATTTTTAAATACTGTAAGAAACTAATTTTGCTTCTTCAGGCAGCTTATTAAAAAACATTATACAATTTAATTTATGTGAATGTTTGGTTTTTGCCAATTTGTGCTGCAATATATCTATTTTATCCCTACCTCTTGTATAGTGATTGTGTACGTCTTTTCGGAAAGAGAATTGATCTAAGTTTGACTTTGTATATATTAGAATTTGGAATATATAAAGATTTACTATGGTTGGTATCCTGAAATTAATGAAAAGAGTTTTACAATGTGTATCTGAGCATTCTCCAGCAATGCTTCGAACCGCCTTTTTCTGGAGTAAAAGGATGTCATTAACATGTGGAGAGTGGCCCCACGTAATAAGACCATATAGTATGTGTGATTGAAAGAGTCCAAAATGTGCCAATCTTAAATGTTCTTGACTAACAAAATCCTTAAGTTTCCACAGCAAGTACCTCACTCTTGAAATTTTGTTACAAACAGATTTTATGTGTGACCAATTTAATTTTGAATCCAAACTATATCCTAAAAAGTTTAACTGATTCACCTCTGTTTTAAGACTGATTGTTATATGTTGTGATTTATCAGAATTACAAGATAGTCTGTTTGCAGAAAACCAATCATATGCTTTATGTTCAGCCTCTTGACTAATTAAGCGCAGGGTTGTTTAATTAGAATGGTTATCAAGTAAAGTTGTATCATCCGCATATAAAACAGATTGTGTATTTATATTTATTGGAAGATCATTAATGTAGACGTTAAAGAAAAATGGCCCTAGTACAGAGCCCTGAGGAACACCGGTTTCAACTTTTTCAGTTTTAGAACATTTATTTTTAATTGATACCAATTTAAGTCTATTACATAAATACAAAGAAATTAGAAGCATGGCATCATTAGTGATGCCATAAAAACGTAGTTTGTTAGTTAGGATATCAAAAGGAACCGTGTCAAAAGCTTTACTTAAATCACATAAAACTAATGACACAGATTCTTTCTTTTCTAATGTTTCGAGAGAATGGTCAACTAAAGTGAGAATTGCTGAGGTTGTGGATATACCTCGACGAAAGCCGAATTGGGAGTTTGACAATAGGTTATTTGTTTCAAAGTAATTATTTAATTGATTATACATTACTGCTTCAAATATTTTGGAAAAAATTGAAACATTTTGAACCATTTTTTTATCACCTTTTTTGAATATTGGGATTACTTTCGATATTTTGAGGGACGGAGAAAAATATCCCTCCCTTATACAGGTATTCAATATAAAATCAAGAGGGTAGCTAATAAAACCTATAGTCTTTTTCAAAATATTATTAGAAATCCAATAATAATCCATTGATTTAGAATTTGTTAATCTAGCAACAACTTTAATTATATCCGATGATGAGACCTCTGACCAAGAAAATGTTGTATTTGTTGAGTTGTTTCCTAAAATATCTTCTGCTTTGTAAGGGCTTTGTGATATTCCTTTTTACAATATGGGAAACTTTTTATGGGATACTTTTTACGATATGGGATTCTTTTATGATATTACTACTTACGAAGGGGGGAAAACAAAAGTCCACGACATAGGGAGCAGTGAAGTAAGTATTAAAGGCGAACAGTGTGGAGTGTGGGAATGATTAATGTATCTGCAATACTAGAACTGCTCTCAGACCAAACTAATGATTTTCCTCGAACAAAGCTCGGTCCCCAGGTACTACTGCTATCTACTGCTGATCCACCAACCTCTTCCAATTGCGAGTGTGAGGCCCACTCTCCTGATCCTAACACCCCAGTATTGTCATGGTGCCTTCTACTTCTTGGATGGACTTTACATGGAAAGTGTGCACAATTTAGTGATCGTTTGGATGAGAATTTGAGCCTACTCTCATATGAAGAATCTTCGCTTCGTGACATAGTACAGTAATCTTTTGAATTTAGAGAAATAAGGAGAAACTGGATCAAATGACCCACAGATGTCAAAAGAAAAAGAACGTGGAGTATCAATCCTTGAGGATCCCATAAAGAAAACAGGAGATCATTACGAAGTTGGTTTTTTAAGGAAAAAGGACAAATTTTACTCGATCCTCCAAACTATAGTCCAGGAGCTGAGGGGGTTTGAGCATGCATGAAAGTAGTACGCAATGTTATTGCTGATTATTGTAATATGGACTGTGGTGATCAAAATTACGTATGTCGCCTATTTCAAAAGTGGTCGATAAGGTGGGGGGGAGGGGGCAAACATGGCGGTTTGCGCTATGCGTTAAAACGCTGATATTTCGAAAACGGTAAAAGATCGAACATCGGTTAAAACGTCGTTGTAATTCTAGAAAATGTGGACTACAATAATGGTTATTGAGTCCGAGGTCGTATCTCTATAAATAAACAAGTTATTGTATAAAATATGTGAAAATAGACTTTTTGTGTAGTTTTTTTTACCGAAAGTAGAATTAATTTGTGAGTGTCGCAAAGAAGTAATATCAACTATCTTTGCTGATAGTTGTAATATGGACTGTGGTGATAAAAAATACGCATGTCGCCTACTTTTCAGGTGGTCGAGAACTTGGGGGGAGGGGGGCAAAGATGGCGGAACGCGCTATGCATTGAAACGACTGTAGCTCGATGACGGTACGAGATCGGACATCGGTTAAAACGTAGTTTTAATCCAAAAAATATGGCCAATAGAAAAGGTTATAGGGTAAAAAGTTGTATCTTAACTAAGAAGATGAAATACTCTTGAAAAGAAACATGGAAAGTGATCTGGAATTTAACGAAGCTTACACAACCAAGATTGACGAATATATTGAAAGAGGATATATTAGAGAACCTATATTGTGTGAAACAGTGAATTTAACAACATTTTAAGCATTTCAGGAATCATCAAAGGGGGCCCCAGTCTAAACTCCAGTTTTATGTGAAAAGGTTAGTGTCTCCAACTTTATAAAAACTTTAATACAGCCCACATTGCTTTACCTATACATTAACATAAATACCCCACAGATATGATAGTGTCAACCAGGAGCTGAGCAGGATGTTGAGGGAGGGGGGGGACAGGAGTCATTGAAGTACAAGGGCAATGAATACACAAACTATAAAGAAGAACAGGTCCTATGGACAATATTCTAACAGTATTTTCAAATTTGGAACGTGAAATATCTGTAGTTCTGCAATAAACCACCATCCAGCGCTGGCGTCAAGTTAAGCACGCGGTGAAGTGCGAGAGAGAGCGACATACACTGTTTTTGTCACCTCTCTCTCATGGCCTGGCCTGGCTCGCACTTCACTGCGTGCTAAACTTGACGCCAGCGCTGGATGGTGGTTCAGTGCAGAACTACAGATATTTCACGCGCCAAATTTGAAAATACTGTTAGAATATTGTCCATAGGACCCGTTTATAGTTTGTGTATTCATTGACATGGGCTAGGTCAAACATGTCAGTGAGTACTGTAGTCAGCTGTGATAACTAAGGAATTTTGTGGCCCTGATTATAAAAATAGAAATAGTATGATTTACAAATAAAGATGTTTGAATATGAATATAAATACTGTACGCGGAAAGAAATTGAATCAAAAAGTGGTAAATCATCAAAATAAGAGCAGATATTACAAAACAGTATATGAGATATGTTAAAGGAGGATGAATACCTTGTGTTGTGGTATTGTGTAGTCCCATGGAAGATATTATAGTATTGTAATTTTTTTAAATACAAATTAAGATTTATTTTTATGAATGTTTTGTGAATAGAAAAAAGGGACAGTTGTTCCTCTAATAGGAATTTTTATAATTGTTTTTAACCAAATTTGTTTTTTTTGTTTTTTAACCTTTTTTCACCAAACTACAATGTTTTTAGCTGATTTACTCAGTGGCGGATCTATGGGGGGGGGGGGTTAAGAGGGCTATAGCCCCCCCCTTTGGGTCTAAACTTACACTGTATAAAACGAAAAAATTCCTAGATATACCAACAATTTATCATGAGACTTGCAGGTGCTTGAAATATAAGGAAAATAATTTCTGAGCGTGTTTTAATATAATTTCATGTAACGACAGTGCATTACTATTAATTAATCTACTGTTTGTTTTAAACTGGACAGACCTTTTCAGAACAGCGCTTGTGCAGTTCGCAACTTCTGGCCGTCTGTGCCCGAAATAAAGCCGAAGGGAAGGGAAGGCACACTTTCCTCCCCCGCCACCGGTTGGACCGGTCCGCGCTTTGACTATGATTCATATTCATAGAATCATAGTTTTGGCACGTCCGCTCGAAGATTACCATTCCCATTGTCATTGTCCACGGTCCAGTAGTAGTGCCCGTCCAGTGTCCTAGTCTTACTTCCTACTGCCACTGGATTTCGGTAACTTCAAAAGGAACAGGTTTGGCCTAAATATAAAGAGGTCATAGTCCTAAAACAGCCTCAGTACAGTAGGGTTTCAGCTCACTGTAATGGAGGAACATTACCACGAACGAACATTCAACGCTGAATACAAATCAAGCAAACTACACTAAACTGTCAAAATGATGCTTAAAAAAATACAAACATATGGTTTGCTCGCTTCTTTAATACATCTATAATATTAAAACGTAACAGGGTTTTTTTTATTTCACGATTCTGAATCAACCACTTGGCGGATTTTCATGATTTTTGTGTTGAAAGAAAGATAATTTTGAGAACTAGGGAATGTCGAAGCCATAATTTTAGTTTAGGGTCCCAGTTTTTTGGAAATTAAGTTTTAATTTTTGAAAAGTCTAGCAGCCGACGCAAACATTCTAAACTAGCTTTTGGTATGATATTATTTGCTTAACATAGCAGCTGTAAACATTCAGCGTTCGTGACACAAATTCAGCATTTGGATCAAAATGAAAAGACATACTAAGGGTTGACTTATTTATACTATGTGTAATGCTGATCATTGATACGTTTAATTCTTCAGTAAGAGGATGAGAGTTTAATTAAATTACATAGTAAAATACTAGGATGCACAAATTATTTTTTAAAGCAATCTTTGATTTGTTTTAGTGCAATATAATTTGTTTTAACTAACAGCTGGTTAAATATAAAAATATTCTATAGAACTATTAGGTTATTTTATTTACTCTGATTTTGTCATTGATTGTAGGAAATAAGTAAGATTTTAATATTTTTTTACTAAACTTTGGACAAAGAAACAGTCTAAAACTGCCATTTTGGACACTTAAATTACAAAAAAATTTTCGGGGGGGGGGGGAAACCCGAACCCCCCTTTCTCACTGGAGGGTATTCCATACCCCCCGGGCCCCCCGGTTAGCCCCCCCTTGGGATTGTTCTAGATCCGCCACTGGATTTACTAACATTAATTGGAGGCTGAAAGCTACGTATTGCTGTCCATGCTAGCTGTCATCATCATTGGGGATTTGAACAGACCACAAAATTCTTTTTACATAGGTAATAGCTTAATATTTACACTTATTAAACAACCAAAAAACATGAATGACTGTGTAATTTATCAGGTTAAGAATTAATTCCACTTTCACATCCACATTTAAGAAAACATTGCTTGTCAGGTGTAATATGCCCTAATATCTTTCAATTTTCTTTTTAACAATCACGGGAGGAATCAACTAAATCAAGCCTGAAGGAAGCCATAAAATGGGTTGGAAACAATGCTGAAAATGCATGAATGATTAACCTTATTAGAAATAAACTCACCAACTCTGCCATTATTTAGTTGTATTTCTGTAATCACTGTTGACTGGATTGTGTAATCTCAGTTTTCTTTGCAAAGAACACCTGAAAGCAGAAGATTGTTAGATAGTGGAGATATCAAGTCAGTTTGTAGCGACTCAAAGACTGAATCAACAGCCGCACATGTTTAAAGAAATTTCAGAATGAACCAAAACTCTATACTTAGATAAACCACTCAAAACATTCTTTGTGGACTGCTGACTAAGCTCCGGTATCACAGCAATCCTACTTCTTTAATATACAGTTGCGTGAAGTTTATAACTGGGGGGGGGGGAGGAGTATGAGAGGTATACAGAATAACTCCCAGTAAAGAGGGATCTGGAATCATTGCCCGGAAAATAGTATAAATTACGGTACATTTCCGATCATCCGAGCCCCGGTTATTCGGACCCTTGGCATATCCAAGCACAGACAATAGACCATGGATGTAATGTGACACACAGGTCCAACTGTCCTCACCCTCCGTCATAATCGGTATGACCGTGACCACCGACAGCAGTCCTATAAACTTGAGCCTCCAGGCAGGGCCTTTCCCAACACTGGCAGTGGAAAAAGGTATGTTCCATGTCATCGAGAATGCCTCGGCAGTAGGACTATAGGTGCAATCGGGTGACACGAGTTTGCCCATTCTATGAACGGGTACGACCAGAAAAAGGTGTGACCCGTCAAAAATTGGGTGAGGTAGAAGTTCACCTCTCTGCACTGCCAATTAACGCAAGATTGGACTTGCTGTATCAGTCGCCTGGTCCAGCTTCCTCGTGTATCTTGTTCCCAGCTGGTAGGTGTGGGTGCATTCCTCTGTTCGTGCCGGGTCCTCCCCACGGCGCTGATAAATTGCCTTTCTCTCCGCTGCCAAAAGTTTGACAGGGATGACTCCAGCAACCACCAGGACGGCGGGCCACCGGGACGGGGGGGGGGGGGGGTTCGGTAGGCAGATGCTACCCTTAGTGCTCCCTGTTAATATAGGCCTACCTCCTTATTAACATTGGCCATCAACCAGCTAAGAGAAGAAACCACCCTAGAGCCCTTGTCCGCCGTACGAAAGATCTGATCCCGCCAGCTAAGCTTGCTGTCCACCATAACCCCAAGGTACTTGGCAGTACGAATAGTTTGGACTTAGACAGCCCACACCCTCAACTTAACTTTGTTTTTTGTCAAAACCACAATCTCGGTTTTGCTCAAAAGGAGCGAGAGACCGTGTTCTGCCATCCATGCGTTTATGGTAGCCTACGCATAAACCCACCCATTGACGGGATCTCTGACCCTGGTGTAGCAATTCTTCTGGCTCTCAATGCTGCTCAAAGCAATTCCGCAATCTCGGCAGTCCACCAGTACACAGGTCGCATATCGCACCGGGATTTCCTGCGAGGCATACACTTATCGCCGGCCGAGACAATCAGCCCACGTAGGATTTGATTTGGCAAAAGGGACTCAAATGCAAGGGTTACGTCTGGGTAATCCCATTGATGTAGCCTAATACCTGCATCCCAGGGTGCCGGAAAGTTGGCGTGTTGCCTTCGTTGACAACGAGTCCGGCTCTGGCAGCAAAGTCCAGAATGTACTTGACCCCGGTAATTGATGAGGGCCATTCCCCTCTCGACAGCCCTAGCATTAAAATCCCCACCCACGACGAGGTGTCCTGTAGTAAGTATTGTGCACGCTCTCTTCCAGGCAGTCTATCTTCTCAGGAAAGTCACGGATGGCCTCGTTGGGAGTGAGGTAGACAATGAAATAAGGGAAATCCCTGCACCGAACCCAAACGAAACCTCGGCCCTTCGCGTGACCCCACACTTGTACTTAAGCTGTGCATGATTAACTTAGTGATGTAGGCCTAACCGTTACATATTAAGTTTAGGGCATATAGGCCTATATTTCAATAAAATTCTAATTGTAAATCAATAAAGTAACTTGTTGTAAGTAGGTACCATATTGAATGGATTTCACATCCAGTTCAATTACAGGGACCACAGACCTTACAGTTACTGGTTAATAAATAATTATTAATATTTAGGCTAATATAAGGTTTTTAGGTTACCGGTGTAATAAGTCTAACATGAATTTGTAAACTGTTTGGTCTGTCAACTTATTTTTGGCTTTCTAGTCCTTAACTTATTATATAAAATACATTTTATTCAAAGAATACCTATCTTCCTTCCCTTGTAATTAGAGAGGGGGGGTGGTACGGGGACGGCGATGGTCCCATCGAATTCCTCACCCCAAAAATAGGAGGGCTACATGGTTTATACTGCTGTAGATACAAAACTGGAGCAAATGTTTGAAAACATTTCCCCGGACAGGGATAAATAACAAAATCCCACTCCCCAGAGCCCTACCCCCTCCCCCCATACCGTACACCTACCTAAGTTGGAAAAATATTTTTGTTATGATTAACTTAGTAGCCTAATATTTATGTTTGTATGTTGACTTAAGATATATGAGCACTCAAACTATTCTATGATCATAGCCGCTACTAACCTAGGTACCGGCTAGGTACGTAAATAGAACTCACCCCGGAGAATTTTTTTTAATTGGCGCACACAGCAAGAGACTCATTAGGGTAGGCTTAATTTACCATTTCAAAATAGGAATAGGCCTATGTATAAAATAACCTAAACAGCTATAAAACTAGGCCTATCATTAAAGACAGATTTTTGTAAAATTAAGTTATTTTAGGCCTAGGCTGCTAGAGCTATGAGTTATTTCGATTCAAGACTCAAAATACTACTTAGGGCCTGGGCCTAAGCAAAATTTGATAATGATCCAAGATATTTAGCCTAACTTTGTCAAGTTAATGTGCCTTGTTGGTTTGACATGGCATAACCCAGGGGGTTGAAAGTCAATAAAATTTGGATCATTGTAAGGCCTACACTGTGTTTTCCAATCCTAGCTTAAGAGGTGGATAAACCTGGCATAAGCATTTCTCAGGGCCATGTTGTCTCTGGGTGTGAGTGTGTTTGTCATTTTGGTTTGGCTGACTCACAATTGACTAAGGATTGGTCATAAAACACATAACATTTAAGGTTAAAGAAAGCTTGATATTTCACTTACCGACTTATTGAGGTAGGAATGATAGGACACGCTTAGGTTAGGTTCTAGTTTACCTACCTAACCTTAATACCAGGCCAATGCCAATATGCCTGATGCCATTACTGATTGCCAATGTTGGTTGATGACAAACAATTTAATACAGAACAGGCTTGATTGAGGCTTGGTTTGGGCTATTTCAATTTCAAATTTCAATTCGGTTCGGTAGGACGGTAGATGTCATTAAGAATAGACTGATAGTGTTAGTTTTTAGTTTGTTAGTGTTTCCGTTTCCAGTTTCCACACGAGTGACGAGACACGACAAAAAATATCCCCGCTTACTGGGTCAAGAAATCCCGTTTAATCCCAATTTAAAATTATGAAAAATCCCGTTTTATCCCGCATGATATTTTGTTCAATTCTGAGTGTTATATGTGACGTATCATGTTTAAATAGTAGTTTAAACATTTTTATTATATTTTTTTACAGTATTTTAATCAATTGGTGTTAGTTTTCCGTTAAAGTTAATTATAAAAAAAATAAAAATTGACGTCTAGCCGAAAATCCTGTTTTATCCCGCGTCCCGTTTTAATCCCGCTCATGGTCTAAATATCCTGTTTTCGGGATAATAATCCCGAGTATGGAATGGAAACACACTGAACCTGGACCATGAAATCTCCTTCTATACTGTGTCTCTTGAGTAAAACAAACAGTAGAGGCAGGAGGCAGCCTGAGAGCGTAATGATAATGCTAACAGTGGTTTAGAATGTATTTCATGGTGTAGACCTTTTAATAGTATATTTGCATAGGCTAACCAACACAAGTAGACTTCTCATCCCATTGTAAATTTTGAAGCTAGTTTTTCATGTCTAGTTCATGTCCGGTGTCACTGACAGCTGGTGTCGACGAAATTATTTTATATTGTTTTAGGGTTAGTCACAGAGCATAGAATAAACATAGAGGTGGCACCACCGCGGCAGTTCAGTTGCCGTCTGGAGTGAAGCAGGCTTCTCGTACCAAGATGGCGGCTGGCCCGGCCTGCATTTACATTTTTGTCTGTGAGACTGCGAGTTTGAAAGTGCAAGCAATTTGTGGCTCTCACATCCTGAGAACAAAGAGTGATGAGAGATTGGGCAGTGTCAAGCGCCATCTAGAATGTTTTACAAATCATCATCTAAGCGTTTATGTGCCATAATGTTTTTAATTGTACATCGTTCTATGTAGCTTGATATTTTCCTACCACTTTTCTGAATACCGTAATTAAAAGACAGAGAATGTCATCAAATTATGAAGTATAGTTTAATTATATTTCTAAAATCAATGGTGGATGTGTAAATATTTAATAATAGATTTAAAGATCCCTCCGAAGGCACGGGAACAGCTAGGTAATAGTTTGATTAAAGTTTCTGTTGAAAAAATAGCTATACCTATAAAATTTTCTAAAAGCAATACAGTAACAAAACTGCAGAAATTATATAGCTTTTTAAACTACGGTCCTCTTGCAACAAAAATTTTAACTAGCATTTAAATATTGGTGGAAATATTGAAAAACCAAACCAAATATTGAAATATGCATAGCAAACATTACCATTCCATAACATCAAATGGGCAAATGGTATGGTATTGACCAGTTTTGAGGGGGAATTTGGAAGTCTTGGGGGGGGCACCCCTAGCGTGTCAGATTGCTGATGCCGTTTAAATAAAAAAATGATACTATGGAAGAGTGTAATTGTATTTTCTCACAATTAAGGAAAAAACATTGAACAGTTCTGGAAATTTAAAATTCTTATATTTTATTTATATGGAGAATAGATGAATTGATTCATGATTTTTTTTCAGTATGGCAGATTGCGTGTGTATTAATAAATACTAGAGGTCGTCCAGTGGTCGAAACTCGACCAAAAATATTTAATGTACAGACTTCTTTATTTTCATTCCACACTTTGAATAGAACATGTGATTGGAGTTTCTTCCATTTGTTTTGATTTTCTGTTTATATTTCGTTGTTATTTCGTCACCAGCATGGCAACTCATAATATCCATGTTAAATTTTTCAAAATTTTAAATTCATTTTTTGTGCTTATTTATGAGCCTATTTTAATTTATAAAGGGATTCTGCACACCTACAGGAAAATAGCTTTCTAACAGTATGCGTAGATTTTCCCTACGATGCACACGAGCTGAGAAAAAAGGTTTTAAAGAAACATGCTTGCCTATTAATATATATATATATATAGATATAGATAGATTATGTCTTCGCAATCCTTATTGGTTATGACACATATAAGGCCGTTTCGGAGATTACTCCATCGTTGGGTGAAGTCGTACACTAAACTAAAAGATACTGTATGTTTACATTTTTCACGGGACTTCTTTAATTTCATTGTGTCAATTAATAAATAGTACATATACAACACGAAACACGGCACAAAAACATTTAAGAACGTGATTGATTTGGTTTGCTTAGTTATGTAAATAGTCTTAGGTATTTATTTTGGAAAATTAGCTGATCTTATTCAAAGCTATAATAAATAAATAGATTTTAATGTTAAATTAAGAACCATGGCTCATTTTAAAATTGTCAGATTTTGTTTAGTGATTAATAAAATCAAAGCTAAACATTCACTGAGTAATTTGAGACCAGAAAGAACTTGGTGACGTATTAACAACCCGAGTTATAAATCTTTTAATAAAAATATATTTCTAAAAAGTTAAATTTAATATTGTTCTGAGGTTCGTAGCTGGTCTTTAACTCGTCTGATTTTAATGATGAAGAGCTCAAATGAAAGCCCTTACATTACTGAATATTTTAAGCCTAGAACGAACTACAAGCGTCAATAAGAACTGGAGATATAAGAAAAATAATTTTAAAACAATTATCAAATTACGAAACGTCCATAAGAAATGTATGGTGGAGAGTTTTCGTTTGAATATATCATCTAAATGAATAAAGATATTTAAAAACGGATTTCGGCATTGAAATCAGTGTAAAAATGTAGTTGGTAATGACGTGTCTTAACACTATCATTACATTGAAAAAAATATCAATGTCTAATATGGCGGATCCAAGATGGCGGCCAAAAACATGTTCCCTATCAAAATGAAGTACTAACCACCCAATAAATACGGGCGGCGGACCCAAGTCAATATCTCGAAAAATGTGCATAACAAATGCATGTGAAATATGTTTTTTAGTTTGTCCAATGTTGGAAAAAGCCGCCATTTTAAATTCTGATTTTAGTGGTTTTTTCGTTCACCGATTTTTGGCAGCTTTTAGTATGTCATACTGCAAACCCATCTCTACAAAATAAAACCATAAAACGTTTTCTTGAAATTTTTTCAAGGTCATATCCTAATCCTATATTTCTCCGACTAATTGTCAAGCCGAGATATTTAACTTAGTGTGATTGAGGAATTTGGATATTGATTATGAGTACAGGAGAACAATACCAAATCTTACAGTTAAAGTCATATGAGTAGATTTGTTCTCATTCAATCTTATTTTCCTTGTTTCTAATCATTTCGATAAGTCAAATCTAGTGAACTTTGAACATTTACTGTGAAGTTACCACTGGATCAGGATGGCAGTTTCGTCAAGAGTGGCCACAGTGGTATTAGCATTTTCAGTTATATACGGCTGTAAACAGTGGATATAGTACAAGTCCATTTTGTACACTTCCTTCCTTTGCGGATCACCAGCTTGATTGGGTATAATTTTGTATTGCTATCTTCAAATTTAACTCTAAAATATCTGTCGTTAAAGAATGATGGTTGTAATAATAATAAAATGTATGATGAGGAAGATTTAGTTTGAGTTTATTAAGTAATGTACCACATTTCGTCAAAGGATTTCCTTTGGCAAAGACAGCTTTGCAATGATTCATTTCTCGAGGTCTTCTTTACTTAATTGTATAACCAATTATGTACCGTACTTATTTCTGCCGAAAGTCGAACTGATGACTTGGAATCAAGTTTTTGCAAAAAGACCGTGCTTGTTTACTCAAAAAAGGCTATTGACATAAAAACACACACACTTACACATACTTATACACATACTTTTTACACTTGAAAATCCTATTGAAACCACCTGTCAGTCAAATTTGTATTGTAACTTCCTTAAGTTCACCTTCCTCTTCCGAAGAATCTATACAGTTAAAGAATACTGGACCTCTTAAAAAATTCACCTCATAATACTTATATTCAGGATATTGCCATTGACTAATTGTTCTAATGGGACAACAAAACAAGACCCAAGACAACTTGGCCTTGTTCTGAGGGTGATATATGGCTTTACCTGTTGGTGTATTTCAATTGAGGAAAGAGATTGATACGTGACAGCACAACATGTGTGGTTGATGACTCATTCATTCACTCTGAAAAGTAGAATGAATTTGAATTTTATTCAACAGAGTTGGGCTCGATCTGAGTGCAAATTGATTTTGAAACTTCAGTTCGATACACTAGGCTATACTATTTTATTATTTTATATATTTTATTCTCACGTGTTGCTTGTTATACAAAACATGTATGATAATCTATCTATAATATTAAAACGAAAGTGTGTTTTTTTATTTCACGATTCTGAATCAACCACTCGACGGATTTTCACGATTTTTGTGTTGAAAGAAAGATAATTTTGAAAACTAGGGAATGTCGAAGCCATAATTTTAGTTTAGGGTCCCAGTTTTTTAGAAACTAAGTTTTAATTTTTAAAAAGTCTAGCAGCCGACGCTAAGATTCTAAACTAGCTTTTGGTATAAAATAATTTGCTTAACATAACAGCTGTAGACATTCAGCTTTTGTGTCACAAATTCAGCATTTGGATAAAAATAAAAGACATACTAAGGGTTGACTTATTTATACTATGTGTAATGCTAATCATTGATTCGTTTAATTCTTCTGTAAGAGGATGACAGATTAATTAAATATACATAGTAAAATACTAGGATGTTCAAATTATTTTTTAAAGCAATCTTTGTAATTTTCGATTTGTTTTAGAGCAATATAATTTGTTTTCACTAACAGCTGGTTAAATATCAACTATGGAACTATGAGGTTATTTTATTTACTCTTATTTTGTCATTGATTATCTATAATATTAAAACGAAAGTGTGTTTTTTTATTTCACGATTCTGAATCAACCACTCGACGGATTTTCACGATTTTTGTGTTGAAAGAAAGATAATTTTGAAAACTAGGGAATGTCGAAGCCATAATTTTAGTTTAGGGTCCCAGTTTTTTAGAAACTAAGTTTTAATTTTTAAAAAGTCTAGCAGCCGACGCTAAGATTCTAAACTAGCTTTTGGTATAAAATAATTTGCTTAACATAACAGCTGTAGACATTCAGCTTTTGTGTCACAAATTCAGCATTTGGATAAAAATAAAAGACATACTAAGGGTTGACTTATTTATACTATGTGTAATGCTAATCATTGATTCGTTTAATTCTTCTGTAAGAGGATGACAGATTAATTAAATATACATAGTAAAATACTAGGATGTTCAAATTATTTTTTAAAGCAATCTTTGTAATTTTCGATTTGTTTTAGAGCAATATAATTTGTTTTCACTAACAGCTGGTTAAATATCAACTATGGAACTATGAGGTTATTTTATTTACTCTTATTTTGTCATTGATTATAGTAAATAAGTAAGATTAGTAGAGATAATTAGACCATAGTTTAAACCATAGTTTTAACAAAAAATAATTAAACCACAGTACAAAACGAGGCTCTGCACACGAGTCTTAATAAAAGAGGATAAATGCAAATTATTTTAGTGCTACACTTTTCAAGGAAATATTAGAAAAATTACAATGTTAACATGTTTTAATTCTCCATGGTAGCTTTTTGTTTAAAATTAATGTTTGTCTGGACTTTGTTTGGATTAGGCGCGTAAGTATTGATGTCATAAAAAGAAAATCAAGAATAATCAGGAATCACGATTTTAAATTACCACCACAACCTCAGACGGGTTTTATACAAAGATAAACAGATGGATGACATAGATTGAACACAACGTCAACATTGACCTAGGATACTGCAATTAGACAAACCATCCTTTTATGAAATCATGTTCAGTTGTGGTTACGTTTGGGGGCACCTATATCAGCGCCCCCAAACGTGAAAATATCACTTTCATTTCAACGATGAATATATTGTAGTTTAAATTAACTAATATGGGACATTACAATGTGCATTTATTCTATGAGGGTGGGTAATTTTCAAGGATAGAACTGATAACGGTATGGATAATAATCATTGACAATTTCGTCATTAGTTTTACTAGCGTGTTTACTTTTTATATTCCTACTACATGTGACCAGTTCTTTTTTCAATTGAATGTTATTTGAACCAAACAACTGTTTCAAAACAAACTGTTATTGTTTTTACTTTTCTTTGTTTACGCTTAGCAATTAATGCAGTGATAGGTGTGACGATTAGTTTTGATGTTAGGACACCAAAGTTAAATTACGTGTACTGTGAATTTTATTGGATATTATCGTTTTATTTTAGGTAGTTTCAATTCAGACCTACTGCAAATTGTGTATAGTAGTTGTATTGTGGTGGTAATAATTATGAAAGAGGCAGGTATGCTATGGAAGATGGCATTGTTGACTAGGTCTATACACTTCTCAATTGACTATTACTCTCTCTACTGTAGCTTACTTATAATCAGTGTGCGAAACGGCTGCAAATCTCACTTCAACAGTTTTCACATCGTAAAATTGCAGAATTGCTGTTTTACCTATTGTAAAATTATCGGATTTAAAATGCATATCGTATAGGCCTATGATGGAATAAAAACATATTTGGTCACACAACATTTGTTTACAAGATGATTTTTATCATTAAAACTGCAAGAAACTTTGTCTTTGTGTAAACTAGCTGATCTGAATTGTACACGGTTTTAACTGACTACTGAATTCCCGTACGTAGGACGGGCCAACACCTCGTTTTATATTAAATTGAAATTCGGTTTCTTATATGATCATAATAATGTGTGTTTAACCTTCTATGGATATAAATTATACATAGGTTATGTATAGAGCCACTGCAGCAAACCTGCAGAATAGGCGAATTTCCAACTACTGGCTGGATTTCTATCAATATATTCCCTTAAAATTGTCAGATTTATTTCCTAAATACATTTTTTTTCAATGAGTACCTACTTAGGTTTGCTGGTACGTTAACATGGGAAACTACAGAGCCACTGGGGCGGAGCCCGAAAGGATTTTTGAGATAAGAATATTCCTATATGTTAATCGGAAATGTGAGCTATCATCATGCCAAATTTCAGCCCAATACGTCCAGTAGTTGCGTGATTGAACAATTGAACTTCAAACATACAAACTTTTTCACATTTATAATATTAGAAAGATAGTAGATATGAATATGTCTATATGTTAATGTGAAATGTACATGTCTACTGGAATAAAATATTATTTCTTGAGCCATTATCTTGCCAAATTTCAACCAGGATCCACCAGTAGTTAATGCATGATTGAACTTCAAACAAACAAACAAATACCTACGGTACACAAACTTTCATATTTATAAAATTAGTATAATGAATTTGAACGGATGGTGTTTTTGGTCTCTGGGGACCTCAAAACAAAAAAGTAAATCGGTCCCGGGTCCAGGTCTTACTATGAGACCTACAGTATTAGCTTATACCCTATATGGAAAATTCACAAAAAGTAAAAAAAAAGTACTTCTATAATATGTGTTGATAACAAGCCACCCACAGTACAGCAAATTACAAAATACAGTACAAAGAAAAAACCTTCAGTTAGTTGTAACTATTTAAGAGCAAAGAATACACTGAACATTACTTAATTGATACAGGGGTAAAAATAGTTCCGATTAAATACTGATTATTTTACTTGGCTCTCACCCACCAAAACTTAATCCCTGAAGTACTGAGACATTCCATGTAAACTAAGTACATCTGGGCCCTGGGGATTTTTAAGTATTGGTATAAATAAACTCTATTACCGTATTTTAAATCCCAATGAAAAAAAAAAGAATCACAATTTCTTCATAAGTAGTAGCGTAATAGTGAAAAATTGTTGTCACAAGCCATTTTAAACTTATAATGTGATTTAGTTTATGTCACATTTTTATCTGCTGTCATTAGTGAGTGTAAAAGTCAAACCACGGTTTAAAATCACGGGACTAGAGGGGAGAAAATGCTGTATAAGAAAGTCGCGCCATAGATAAAACATACCCCTCAAGTAGCGCTTAAACTTAATAACTTGATCAGCATCGTATGTGTTATTACAAATACGTCAAATAACACTTTGTAATAAAAATATATTTTATACTCACTTACACTGTTTACTTACAAGACAGTAAATACATATAAAAGTGGTAAGTGGTGATTGATTTCGATTGGACATACCAATCATCACCAGACCCATCAGAATCATTCGCCTATTGGGTCTGATAATAATTGGAGTGTCCAATCGAAATTAATCAACACTTACCATATTTTATACTAGCTGTAACCCGCGGGCTTTGCCCCATTTAACTTCTTAATTTTCAAGATTATCTCGTTCGCATGGCTCATCACGTCCTGGTTAAAGTTTGTTCGCTACGCTCACTCACCTTTAGGTTGGAGCTCGTTCGCTGTGCTCACTTGCCTTCAGGTTAGCCCGTTCGCTACGCTAACTCACCTCCAGGTTGAAGTTCGTTGTACGCTCACTCACCTTTTGGTTGCAAATTAGCTGTTGTCATAATTGTAAAAGAAATAATAGGGCTGCATCCTGTTGGTAATTCTTGTAACTTAATGCTATTGAACATCATAGAACAGAACCGACTTGTTTAATTGAAACAGCTGCTAAGATTCAATAATTCCATTTCTCATAAGGTTAACATGGGAAACTCCAGAGCCACTGGGGCGGAGCCTGAAAGGATTTTTGAAATAAGAATATGCCTATATGTTAATCGGGAATGTGAGCTATCATATCATGCCAAATTTCAGCCCAATCCGACCCGTATTTTTCGCGTTCACTTGTCACAAACATACATCTGAACTTTCTCATTTATAATATTAGTAGGATGTATGACCTAGGTGTAAATATATTTATTACAAGTGTTATTTGACATATTTCAGGCATTTAAACTTCAGCAAGATCATAAAAATGTATCAGAATCTTATTTTTTTTAATTGTATACTTTTACATTAAAGAGTTGTTTTAATATAGCGATCAAATATCTATGGTTTGTAATAAAAATGTTTTTGTTAATTATAAAATGTCTGTTTACGATAACTATTTAACCACAACCAAGAAAAGTTTAGTCCCCCCCCCCCAAGGTACTATATAATATATATGAATTTTAACTGATGGTGTATTTTTTTTATGTTTCCTTGCTTTAAAATTGTTATCAAACAGTATATCACTAGTAGTATCAGTGAGAGAGTATCAGAGCCTAGTTATTACTATGCATCCACTCCTCATTCATTGTGCTAAAAAAATAAATACAAAATACAGTAGTGCTAAAATAAACTAAGTGATCTGATTTTTAGGTGTAACCACTTAGGTAAAAAAAAAATACTCAATAAAGTCAATTTTATTTCAATTCTCTTTTTTACATTACATAATGTTAACAAATACTTAAAATATAACTATCATAAGTTCTTAAAAACACGCTTTAATATAAAATTATAAGTTTTGTAGTCAAGAACATCATTAGCTCTTCCTACCAATCTGTACATTACAGATGCTAAAGGAATCATGGTCCCTTATGAGCTTTAGATAGTTGACATTTTAAATCACACTCTTACAAATCTTTTAAAATATTATCCTAAAAGGTTTTCTCTGTCATAGCCTATACCACTATCAGGTGACTCTTCACAAAACTACAAATCCATTTAGTTAAGGCACTGTAAAGGACACTTCTTCCATTATATATTTTTACACAGTAGAGTCATATCATAATAGTAATTTTTCTCTTTGATATTAGTATAGTAGAATTACACCTTAACCTCAAAATCCAATGTGAAAGCTAACTTTTGACTCCAAATTGCAATACAGTTACTGTATTGTATGTTAAAAAAGTTACCCCATTTTGAGCAGTTTTTTTGTTTGTTTTTATGAAATATCCCCATAATTATTATCTATAACAATAAATTTATTCATAGATTATTTTGCAAATATAGCTAGATTATTGATTAAACAGCGTGTTTATTGCTAAACTGCATAGTTGTAAAAATATACCATAAAAACAAAAAACCTACATATTTTTCAAATACAAACCACCCCCACCTCAAACCCGACCTCCAAATGGTGTAATTTTTTACCTACCATACAATACTATATTGAACAGTTTTGTGTCACAAGTTACCTTTCACTTTAATATTAGAGTTTAGAAAATTGTTGTGCTTATTGCACCTTACTATTATAGATGCTCCACAATGACAGCATCCCTATTATCTCTTCACAATTAAAGGTTTTATTTAATCCCACCCTTAAAAATATAATAAAATACGAACGGTAACATAACACATTGTTCAAGTTTTATCCTGATTAAAGAGGCTGGTATTTTACCAAGCTGAGAGAGGAAAACCTGATATGTCAAAGCTTCATACACAAAACTGAAACATTGCAACACAATTTGAACAAGTACGTAAGGAGATTTACTTTTGGCGTTCAAAAAACGTAGCCTCACATAAAAGATTTCCATCATCATTAATGACATCACATAGGGCGCTCTGTTTAATACTCATGCTATTATTCTCAACATCTGAGTTACTTTTTCCTTCTTTTTCAGAACACTTCACCACAGAAGCCTTTAATGTAGATACATATAAAAACTCATCTTTTTCAATCTTAACTTTTAAAAAATATTCATTTTTCAACTTTCCAATTGGATTTGCTTCAAAGGTAAGTTCAAAATTGTTCTGACTTAAACTATCCGTAACCCAGAATATATTGTCAAACACAGAGATAAGAACATGATCAGTATAGAATTCCTTAGGATCGAACTGTGGCCAAATCCAAGGATTAGATGAATTTGCTTTGTAATTAAAGATTGAGTCACAATGCTCTTTCTCATAGTGATCCACCAGTTTTATCAAAGGAATCACAGTGTTGCAATCACTTTTCCTACACTCTGCAGGCCTGAAACCACAGAATTCCTCATGGTCACTCCCGGGCTCCAGAATGTCTAGGCAACCATCTTCTTGGTACTTGCACTGGCGAGGAAGGGCTTCCAGAAGGTTTTTTAAACACACAGGATTCTCTATTATAAATGGACCTTCGCATGTTGGGCAATTCTTTAACTTCTCACAGCAGCAGTTACAAACTCCATGGCCTCTGCTGCATGTCTTAAATGGAATTTGGATTGTGTCCAGACATACTGGACACTCTACTATCTTTTGCAGTGTATGAAGAGATGACGAGATGTTCTTCAGTGTAGTTTTGAAATTTTCCTGAAAAGAAAATTTAAGAATTGTTTATCCCTCATCAAATTGTAACATACAAATATATTTGGATAAAAGAGGAAAGTGGTTTTACTGCCAACAAACTCTACTCACACTCACAACCTATGGAAAGAAGTTCACCAAAATATCATTCTAATGCTCCTCCAATGTTTTCATACAACCCAATTGACATGGAAGTTGAAAAGTAAAAATTATATAGATTATTGTAGATATTTATAAAGCTGTGTTAAAATGTTTATAAGATTACATGAAAAAAACAATTTTATATTAAGCTAATTAAATAATTGAATAAATTTTTAGCAATATCTGTAAATTTAGATTTATTTGTCTTGTAATTATCTATATTAAATTATCTTACCATTAAAAAAAAAATAAAGAAAAATTGAATAAATGTGTTCAATCCAAGCAAAGCTTAGCCTCTGAATACTTGTGATAAAGTGGCTGGAGCAAAGTCTACGTCTTTATCACAAGAGAGAGTATAGGATCCAAGTTTGAATTAGTCAGGAGGTTTGTAAGTACTGTAGTTGTATAACTTATGTTGTCAATTGTCATAGACCTATTCTATAAAGACGTGATCCAGGTAGCTCACTGAAACATCTTTTACTCGTCGGCTTGTCAATGCATTGTGTAAACCACTTTCCAACTCAATCTTTTTAATGGACAACATTGGTGTAAACGTGCACTAATATTTTTCAATTTTCTTTGTAACAATCACAGGACGATAGCATAGACAAAAATAAAAATATAGACCGGCAGCCGTACTGCGGTTACCAAAAGTTCTGGCGCACACCGCTGGGAGTGCCGTGTAGTTACGTAGCGTGTACACAATAACTACATAGCTCCCCAAGGTGTGCACCAGAATGCCCAGAACCTATGGTAACTGCAACAAGGCTGACGGTCTATATTCTTTTTGTCAATGACAATAACAACTCAATACTGAAGTTCATAAAATCATTAATAAACAGTGCTGAACACCCATGAATGGTTTGAACATATCAGAAACTCACCAACTCTGCCATTATTTAGTTGTATTTCTGTCACTAAGCTGGGTTGTGTCTCATTTTATTTACAAATAACACCTAAAAACAGAAGATTGTTTGATAGCAAAGATCAAGTCAGTTTTTAGTGATGACTGAACAACTAAATCTACAGCCCCACACAGGGCCGCGTTAAGGGTCAGTGGCGCCCTGGGCAAACCCAAAAGCAGCGCCCCCCTTATGTACCTATATATATAAAACTATAAAGGTTTTGACCACAGCAGTGTAGGGAGGGGGAGGGAAGGGGGGTTGACTCATCAGTTCGCCGAAATTCACTGCAGGTGGGTTGGGGTTTGTTTTCTTTGAGCCAACCGCTTACGGCTCTCGTCTGCACTAGGTTTTTTATGCATTTTTCACTGTTTATAGGCCTACTTACTTGTATCAACACTTCTCTATTTACTTATTACTGGTTCACTAACTGGAGTCGGAGTGTGAGTGTCAACACTGACTAGTGACTGTTTAGGTTGTGTTGTGACTGATTTGACGCTGTGCAGCAGCACAGAAAACGTACTACTATAACCGTTATAGTAGTACGTTTTCTGTGGCAGCAGGCACAACACGAACACAACCTACTGACTACTGAGGGAGGAGTACTACTGTACTGTACTGGACTGGCGCCGCGCGGTAGTTGGTACTAGTTGTGACTTGTGGGGATGGGGGTGGGACTGGGAGGGAGAGAAGGGGCACGTCAACCGTAGACCGTAGGCCTGTAGACTACAGCTGGTCTACATACTATTCCCGTAATTTGCTGACGTTACCCAAATTGCAAACAAAAAATCAGCTGATGTATTGCCATATAAGTATATATTTGTTTTGATTTGATTGTTATTGTTTTACAATTTTTCTAAATGGTAAAATGGTGTTTGCAATCTGAGTGAGGTCAGCATATGATGGGAAAAGCACACCTATGTATTTTCCTTCCACCATGCAGGCCTCCCCCTCCCTGCCTCTGATAGTATAGTGAGTGCGCCCGGTTCACACTGCTGCCTGCCTTTCCTTGACTACACGAGGTATAACCTGAAGGTCGAGTATTTTCAATTTTGTTGTATTAATTTACTTTTGCAATAAAGGAAAATCACTTAACTAGAAGTTGAAATCACCCATTTTATTTTTGAAATCCCAACTGATAAAACCCTATTTTTCCTAGTGAGGGGTGTGGTTCCGGGCGCCCCCCAACCACCGGCGCCCCTGGGCATATGCCCAGTCTGCCCGTTTATAAAAGTGGGCCTGGCCCCACAAGTTTAAAGAACATTTCAGAATGAACCAAAAACTCTATGCTTAGCTATAACCACTCAAAACATTCTTGGTGGACCTCTGACTAACTTCATTGCTCAAGGGGGGGGGGGGGGGGGGGGTGATATGCATATGCACCACGCCTGTTGTCAGGCAAAGTGTCTCATTAAAAATCAAATCAACTTTATTGTATAAGTATAAAAGAGGATTTTGGTTTGTTTGTATATTTGTTTGATGATAAACTCAGACACCGCTGGAGAATTTCATGGAGTTATACACCATCAATGTCCTGATAACTTTCAAGGCTAAGTCCTGGGACTGTCTTAAAGGTACCCATGACAGGGATTTTGAAACAGGGTGTCAACAGAAATTTTGTCATTAATTTCCATGACCATTAACCATTGATTTCCATGACTCATGAACTTTACTCGAAAATTATAATATAATGTACACACACGAACAATACTGCCTAGACAAGTTATTTCACAGAAAATACTGAAATAAGTATTAAAAGATAACAATGGAGTACAATAGGTACAATAATGAACAAATACAAGCTCAAAACCCATAAACTAATACAACTGTTTAAATTGAATTGTCGTACATTTGTGAAAAATTCAGAAAAAATGCTACAATACTCGGGGTTACGGCAGACTAGAGCATTGAAAGGTCCCCTGAAATCCATCCATCATTGGGGATTTTCATGACTTTCCATGACCTTTTCCCTATTTTTGATACGTGGTGCATATGCATATCACCCCCCCCTATGTTTTGACTGGGACGGGTGGCGTCGTCCTGTAATCCAGCTACTAGGAGGTCACGAATTGTGGATAATTATAGGTATGCACTGTGGATGCGATGCTACCTGGTGTGGATTAACGTCCGCACTAGTGAGTACTACGACTATCCGCAGTACTATCCTAAATAATTAGACCAATTCGTTAATTACGAGGAAAAATGTGGTTCGGATTCCACAATAAACTGTAGGTCCCTTAGTTGCCATTAGCTGTATGGGCTATTAATTAACAGCTGTGTCTAAGGAACATGTCGGCCTTAGTCACTAACAAGACTACAAGATCGCGCCACTCATCCTACACTCATCCTTCACTCATATTTGGGTTAAAATACGCACATAGTGGCGTCCCCATCTTAAATAATTGATAATTGATTGATATTTCCATGACTTTCAATGACCAGAATTTTTTTCCATGACTATCCCTGACTTTTCAGAATGTGGACACCCTTTGAAAGAATTTTGTTAGATTTGTTTACTAACAAAACATTTGAAAGTAAAATAATCAGGGGTGCCCATCCCCCCCTAGACTCATGACGCACCCCCCCCCCCCCAAATTGAGCAACAGTCCCCCCCCCCCCACCATAAAGGATGTACACAACAAATGAGAAACGTTATTCCCCCGCCCAGCACTATTTGTAAAACCATAAAAGAAGTTTTATAATTTTTTTTAGATATTTAAAATTCAAACCCAGTTAATCTATATAAATAAAGTTGAAGAAGTTGAAACATTGCTTATCTCAATTTATGTCCGTATGTCACGGCCCAGAAGGCATTTTACGCAGCCTCTACTCTAAAGAAAACTAGAGTACCGATTATTATTCTAATGGTTTAATTGTAAGATTCCTTTTTCTAGCTGTCACTGATATGTTTACATAAAAGCTGTTTACGAATACTGTGTAGGCCCTAACCATTTCCGATCACGTTTGTAACCATTTCCGATCACGTTTGTAAGCAAATCCAAAACCAAGTGAGATTAATAACCGAGTGGCTTTGGCTTACATAACGGGTTTGATTTATCACGGGTACTAATATGTAACTCGAAATTAAATTAAATAACTAGCCATCATCCAGATCGGGAACCGGAGATTCTGTGTGTATCAAGTTGTACTTGAATTTTGAATCGGAAAGACCGTGAATCAGTGTTGTACAGGACTGGAAAACTTATCTTTCTATATATACAATTATATAAAATTATATAAAATCTATATCTTTCTGTATATAAAATTAGAGTTTTATAAGTCACCTCAATCAAGGAATTTTTTATTGCCAGAATATCCATATAGCGTTCGTAACCTCTGCTTAACGAATTGTCAGCGTCTTTCTCTTGATAGAACGATCCCCTCTCCCTCCCTTTAGAAACATCACAGCTCCTTTGATGAAAATTAAATGGAAACAACGCTTGCGCCAACAATCGTCTGCTTCGTTTTACACTTCTGTCTGCTGTGCACTATGTTACAACAGATTTCAGATACAACAGCTGGGGAATGATGACGATATAGCCATAGACAATATAGCTCAGTAAACTGTGATTGAGTGATTAGTAACCATGGTAACTTTAGTAAGGCTGTGATTGGGCAATGAGCAGGCCTAAATATGGCGACTTGTTGAATTTGTGTATGAATTGAAGAGAAACCTATTAAAGAACAGAAGAACAAAGAAAAAGAATAACAAGATTGTTCTCGTTACATTCTTTTTTAAGAGTGTTTTAATTATCTCTATATATAATTTTACACTTTTTTATCACTTATCTATCAATTCCTATGCTGTGATACAGCACCTATCGGTATATATCATGAACAGTACCTTATAATACTTTCTAAAGGTTCCTTTAATATTTACGTTATTTACAGCAATGCAGTGTTTGGCTAATTATTTGTTGAGTTTGAGTTAGCTATAATTTTAAGCGTTGCCGTTTGTACAACTGAACCAAGATAAATGATTTGAAATTTACAATAATAATGTTATTGCACAATAATAATGATTGGGTAATATTGAATTTCGTTTAAGAATGCAAATCGTGACGTTAATGGCTGTTTACAGCGTTTTAATGGGTTTGTCATCTGTTTTTATACTATATTGGATTAAACTTATTTTCCATTCCTCTCCCTTTAACTCCGGTAATCGAGTATCTACACAATAGTGTGAAGTATTGTAGCCTATGCTGCTTGAACAAGCTTCATGTCAACAAAGCGTTCTGCTGAGTCGCGGCGTAGCTGGACGTGTCTGTACCACGCGTTATCTTTATCTATCACAGCAGTTGAGCCATTCCGTGCCCTCCCTCTTAGATCTCACGGCTTGCTAATCTTGAATAATAACTTTCTAGACGAATCGTAAACTATCCTAAAATCCTATTTTAACTAATTGAATTCAATAATATTACTATTGTCATTAATTAATCCACTTTCTATCTGACGACTTCGTAATATATTTTGGATTGTCGTCACGTTGAACACTGTTGCAATTAGCTTTAGCCACCCCCCCCCATTTGAATTTTTTGAGCCCCCCCCAAGAATTTCAATGACGCAGTCTGCGTCACAGCCCCCCCTTGTGGGCACCCCTGAAATAATATTGAAGATACATCAGCTGTTACAGTTGGTTTATAGTTTTGTTTTACTTTTTCCTGAGTTTATTTTTTGATTCTGCCGTGCAGTTTAATGCAAACCCAGGCAACAAGTTAACTTACGGCAAGTCTTGCTTTTCGTTTGCTACAAAAAACTTATCTTTCAAAACTTGCCACAAACCTCAGGCAAGTTCTCATAAAACTTGCACAACGTAAATTTACGGCAAGCCTTCCTTTCGTTTGCTACGAAAAACTTATCCGCCAAAACTTACCACACACCTTTAAGGGGACAATAAAACAAGGGATAGGTATTAAAAAGCCTAGCCAGGACAGTTGGGCCAAAGTTTCTGTGTGCGAAACTAGATCTGGTAGGGTCTAGGCGAGGGTACTTTTTAGTGAAAACATTTGTGTCTTGCTATTCACTCGACCCTACCCCCAGCATTGCCAATAACCGGTGCCCGTACGTTTTTGTTTGGTTCGGCTAGTAGCGACCCGTCTGCGCGCACAGAAGTTTTGGCCGAGCTGTATCACTATGCAACCACTAATCCTCATTGTGTTGATAAAATAGTGTTTAGATATTTTAGGTGTAATCACTTAGGTAAAAATATTTCATACTCAACAAAGTCAAGTTTATTTCACTTTCAATTTGTTTGATTACATAAATTTATCAAAATACTTCAAACATAACTAGCATAAGATCTTAAAAATACAATTTAATACAAAATTAATAAAAACGTATCCAGAAAGGCTAATTAACATGTTGCTCATCATTGCATCATTACATAGTAAAATACAAAATCACCTAATTAAGACCATATGTAGAAACTATATTTAATTCTCATATTTCTTACTTTCAAAAAAATAAACATTTATCATTATGCTCATCTCTCATTTATCTATACAAATTACAGATTTTCAACAATCATAGTATCAAGAGCTCTAGAAATTTGACATTTTAAATCACAACCTAGATGGAGATATAAAAAATCTCTGTAAGTATTGTCCAATTTCCTCCATCATATAACACTATCATGTTACTCTTCACAACTACAAAATCATTTAGTTAAGGCACAGTAAGGACACTTCTTTTGTTTTATATTTTTCACAGTAAAGTTATAGTACCCATTTGCTTTAGCATTGATAATATAAACAGCTCACAAAATTAAGGTAGTTTTGGGGAGAAGCAATCCCATCCCCTCCACATACCATAACTTTGAAACAACAACCCAAAGCAAATATATATACATTAAGCTAGGGGGAACCCAGTAATCCTTCCCCTTAGACTGCCTAAATTTTGTGAACGTGTCTATAGTACCTACAGCACAATTAAATCAAACCTAAAAATCTAAAGTGAAACCTAACTTTTGACTCCAAACTTTTCAATATAGTCCCCGTTGTATGGTAAAAAAGTTACAAAATTTTAAGCTTCGGATTTTTATGGCAGGGAGGTTAAAGTTGAAAAAACTTGGTTTTTTGTTTTCTATGAAATATTTTGATCTAACTCTCATCGATAACAAAAATGAATTTAAATGAGATTAATTTGTTAATAAAGGTCTTGTGCTAAGCCCCATAGTCATCGAGGTAATTCATTAAAAACACTATTATATTTAACTTTAACCCCCCCCCCCCCAAACCCTACACTCAAAATGGTGTAACTTTTCACTATACAATACGGGAACTTTATTGAAAAATTTTGTGTCATAAGTTAACTTTCAATTGGTATTTGAGTTTGGGCAGATTTTTTGCTAATTTCACCATGATATAGGCCCTACTTAGCATATCACAAGTTCACAGAATTAAAATTTCAACCACACACCCTTAAAAATCTTATAAAATACATAAAATAGATTGTTCAAGTTTTATCGTGATTGAACTGGCTTGTAATCTACTCAGTTGAAGGAGGACAAACACAATATCAAATTTTCATACAAAAAACTTATTGCAACACAATTTGAAGTTTTATGTAGGCCTAAGTTTAATGCACCAAAGAAGGTTTTACTTTTGGCATTCAAAAAACGTCAACTCACATCTAAGATTTCCTTTTTGCAAAAAATTATGTAAGGCACTCTGTGGAGTCCTCATGCAATTATCTTTATCATCTGGATTACATTCCTCCTCTTTCTCAGAACACTTCACCACAGTAGCCTTTAATGTATATGCATATAAAAACTTATCTTTTTCAAACTTTACTCTTACAAAATATTCATTCTTCAACTTCCCAATTGGAGTTGCTTCAAAGGTAATTTCGTAATTTTTCTGATTTAAATTTGTGGTAATCCAGAATATATTGTCAAAAACGGAGATGAGATAATGACAAATACTGTATTCCTCAGGATCAAACTGTATCCGAATCCAACGATAAGATGAATTTGCTTCATACTTATAGAATGAGTCTTCATGCTTTTTCTCATAGTGATCTACCAGTTTTATCAAAGGAATCACAGTATTGCAATCGCTTACTCTACACTCTGCAGGTCTGAAGCCACAAAATTCCTCATGGTCACTCCCAGGCTCCAGAATGTCTAGGCAACCATCTCCATGGTACTTGCACTGACGAGGAAGGGCTTCCAGAAGGTTTTTTAAACACACAGGATTCTCTGTTGTGAATGGACCTTTGCATGTTGGGCAATTCTTTAACTTCTCGCAGCAGCAGTTACAAACCCCATGGCCTCTGCTGCATGTCTTAAATGGAATTTGGATTGTATCCAAACATACTGGACATTCGACAATCTTTTGTAGGGATGACGAGATGTTCTTCAATGTAGTTTTTAAATTTTCCTGAAAAGAAAATTTAAGAATTGTTTATCCCACATCACATTGTAACATACAAATATATTTAGAAAAAATAGGAAAGTGGTTTTACCGCCAAAAAACTCTACTCACACTCATAACCTATGGAAAGAAGTTCACCAAAATATCATTCTAATAATGCTCCTCCAATGCTTTCATACAACCCAATCGACATGGAAGTTGAAAAGTAAAAATTATGTGGATTACTGTAGGTGTTTATAAAGCTGTGTTGAAAAGTTTATACGATTACAAGAAAAAATATTTTTTTATTAAGCTAATTAACTTGTTGAATATATTTGTTCAATCTGAGCAAATCTCAGCCTCTAAATACTTGTGATAAAGTGGCTTGAGCAAAAGTCTACGTCTTTATCGCAAGTATGAGTAGGATCCCAGTTTGAATTAGTCAGGAGGTCTGCAAGTACTGTAGTTGTATAAGTATGTAGTTGTATAAATTGTAGTTGTCATAGACCTATTTATGTCAGCCTTAGTCACTAACAAGACTACAAGATCGCGCCCCTCATCCTACACTCATCCTTCACTCGGGTTAAAATACGCACATAGTGGCGTCCCCATCTTAAATAATTGATAATTGATAATAATAATAATTGATAATTTTATAAAAACGTGATCCAGGCAGCTCATTAAAACACAGGGTGTCCGCAGAAATTTTGTCATTAATTTACCCTGACTTTCCATGACTATCCATGACCATTAACCATTGATTTCCATGACTCATGAACTTTACTCGAAAATTATAATATACCGTAAACACTTGAATAATACTGCCTAGACAGAAAATACTGAAATATGTATTGACAGATAACAATGGCGTACAACAGGTACAACAATGAACTAAATACAAACTCAAAACCTATAAACTAAGACAACTGTATAAATTGAATTGTCGTACATTTATGGAAAATTCTGAAAAATGCTACAATAGTCGGGGTTACAGCCGACTAGATCATTGAAAGGACCCCTGAAATCCATCCATCATTGGGGATTTCCATGACTTTCCATGACTTTTTGCCTATTTCCATGACTTTCAATGACCAGAATTTTTTTCCATGACTTTCCATGATTATCCCTGACTTTCCAGAATGTGGACACCCTGAAAACATCTTTTACTCGTCGGCTTGCCAATGCATTGTGTAAAGCCACTTTACAACTCAATCTTTTTAATGGACAACAGCCATTGTTGTTTGGTGTAAAGGTGCACTATTTTTTTCAATTTTCTAACAATCACAGGACGATACCATAGACAAAAATTAAAATATAGACCTTCAGCTGTACTGCGGTTACCATAGGTTCTGGCGCACACCGCTGGTAGTGCCGTGTAGTTACGTAGCGTGTACGCCGTAACTACATAACGCTCCCAGCGGTGTGCGCCAGAACCTATGGTAACCGCACCAAGGCTGACGGTCTATATTTAATTCTTTTTGTCTATGACAATAACAACTCAATAAAGTCTGAAGGTCATAAATAATTAATAAACAGTGCTGAACACCCATGAATGGTTTGAACATATCAGAAACTCACCAACTCTGCCATTTTGTTGTTGTATTTCTGTCACTAAGCTGGGTTGTGTCTCATTTTCTTTACAAATAACACCTGAAAGCAGAAGATTGTTTGATAGCGGAGATATCAAGTCAGTTAGTAGTGATGACTGAACAACTAAATCTACAGCCCCACAAGTTTAAAGAACATTTCAGAATGAACCAAAACTCGATGCTTAGCTATAACCACTCAAAACATTCTTGGTGGACCTCTGACTAACTTCATTGCTCGAGGGGGGGGGAGTGATATGCATATGACCACGCCTGTTTTCCCATTAAAAATCAAATCAACCTTATTGTGGCAAGTATAACAGTGGATTTTGTTGTACAAAGTAATTCTGAAGCCGATTTGGGATTATGGAATCCAACTGTGGGGAACATCAAGTATTTCAAACATAAACATTGTCCAACGATTTCAGTAAAAAGTTTTAAGATTCGTCCTGCAAGCCCCGTGGTATGTTAATAACAATATCCTTCACAAGGACAGTGGAATTCTGACGGTTGAAGAGGAAATAACCAAATTTAGTGAAAAATATCTAAAGAAGCTTGAAAATCACCCTAATCGCCTGGCTCTAAACCTCTTGAACAACAGTACCCCTATATACAGACTGAAAAGGATTCATGTTTTAGACCTCAGCTCACGTTTTGTTAAGCAATTTAATTTTCTCTCTTTTATTTAAAATATTTTTTTATTTTTTCATTGAAATATTTTTAAGTTAGCCTAGATTTGTCGATGGACAGAGAGTAACTAACGATTTATTAATAGTTGTTATTTTATTTGCTGAATGTTCAGAAACCTAAACAGATTGTAAATAAAATTTTGATAAAACAAAAAAAAGATTTGTTTACTTACAAAACATTTGAAAGTAAAATAATATTGATGATACATCAGCTGTTACAGTTGGTTTATAGTTAGTTTTTACTTTTTCCCTGGGTTTATTTTTTAAATTTTGCCATGCAGTTTAATGCAAACCCAGGCAACGCGTAAATTTACGACAAGCCTTCCCTTCGTTTGCTACGAAAAACTTATCCGCCAAAACTCTCCACATATCAGAAGCAAATTCTTCCCAGAAAATCTGCGCTGAGAAGTCCATCCCAAGATTGTGGACAGTGCCGAGAAAAACAAGTAGGTAACTCTTCGGTTCAGCGCTAGTAACATAAATTGGGTCAGGATGCCAAGGCCAAGGGAAGGGAAACGTCAATCACCATTTTTTGAAAGGTAATTTGTGAGGTTTTTCACCATTTTGTGAGGGGTTTTTTGTACACTGCATTTTTTTGTATGATCTTAGATTAAATGCTACAGGCTAGTTAAAAGTATATTGACCTTCAGTTTGTTGGGTTAAAAAGATGGTATATTCTACATAAATCCGGTCCCTTTTACACTCTGTGGCGCACCAAACGGGAACGCCGCTGCGACCTTTGGCTCTGTAAAACCTCTGTCCTTCATTGAGTTAAATGGGAGCTTCTATACTATGCAGCTGGCTAAATGCTTGACAAAGCGTCTATGAGCAGCAGAAACTTGCGGCCTCAAGGCGCATTGCGTTATATGGGAGGTTTTGAACTCTGCGACACACCATAGCGGCGTGATCATAGCCAAACCATCCTCAATAACGCACCTGCATTATTCATTTAGCTAAGATTTAAAGGCATGATTATGGTTAAGACATGACAATTTATAAAATATCCACATTTAAATTAAGTTAATAATAACTTATTGTATAGCCTCGCACTCCTTAAACATTATTTTACTAAAGTTATTCATAATAATAAAGTACCTATGGTACGATTATTTGAGTTTTGTACATGGTATAATTTTGCCCTGTGCTCCGCCAGGGAAGTGTAGGCCTATTATTCGAATTAATAGTATCTTATGATCCCATCATAAACTTAAACTACAAATCATGTTTAAAGGCACCTGAGAGATCGAACATTTATAATCTACGAAACAGATCAGAAATCAATGTTCCGAAGAGGTTCGACGACTACATCATGACTGCAGTTACTAATGTTCAAGAACTGAATGAGCCTGAGTCATACAAGGAGGCAATACGAAGTGAAAAAGCTTCCTACTGGAAAGAAGCTATGGAAAGTGAAATGAAGTCGCACAAGGAAAACCAAACTTGGACCCTGGAGAAACTGCCTGCAGGAAAGAAATGTATAACATGCAAGTGGTTATACAAAGTAAAAACTAATCCTGACGGCTCAGTTGACAGGTTTAAAGCAAGGTTGGTGGTTAGAGGTTTCTCGCAGAAGAAAGGAGTGGACTTCAACCAGACTTTCAGCCCAGTAGCAAGACTCAGCACAATCAGATCCCTACTGAGTGTAGCAGCAGTGGAACATTTGAGTTTAACACAATTCGATGTATCAACCGCATTCTTATACGGCCAAGTCGATGAAGTTATTTACATGACGCAGCCTGAAGGATACAAGGATGGTACAGATCGTGTGTGCAGGCTGAACAAGAGTCTCTACGGTTTGAAACAGGCGCCTCGCTGTTGGAGTACCAGATTCAACAAATTCATGGAACTTCAAGGATTCAAGAAAAGTGATGCTGATCCGTGTCTGTTCATGAAAGAAGATGGAAAAAGTAAACTGATTGTAGCGCTGTACGTAGATGACGGGCTTATAGCGACAAACAACACGGGAATGCTTAAGAACTTCATGGATCATCTGACGAAGGAGTTCAAAATCACATCCAAACCAGCATCTTTCTATTTAGGCCTAGAAATAGAACAGAAAAGTGACGGAAATGTTAGAATATCGCAGAAAGCGTATACAAAGAAAATTCTTGAAAGTTTTCAGATGAGTGACTGTAAACCAGCTCCAACACCTATCGTGAAAGAGAACGAAACAGAACCAGCAGGGAAAGCAGAGAGCTCAAGAGACAAGTTTTCATACAGAGAAGCTGTAGGTGCTCTGATGTACCTGATGACAGCAACTAGGCCAGACATAGCCTATGCTGTGAGTAAAGCATCGCGTACTCTTGAAAACCCGTCTCACGAAGACTTCATAAGGGTGAAGAGGATACTGCGATACCTGAAAGGAACGATTGACTACGGAATAGAATACCAGTCCAAAGAAAACAACCATGTTTTAGAGTGCTTCAGCGATGCTGACCATGCTGGAGACTCATCGACCGGACATTCTACAACAGGAGTAGTCTGCAGTTTTGGAGGAGGAGTAATCGCCTGGCTAAGTCAGAAACAATCGAGTGTGGCAATCTCAAGCACTGAGGCCGAAATTGTTGCGGCCAGTGAAGCCTGTCGTGAAATCGTTTGGCTGAAAAGACTTTTGGAAGAGATAACTTCACTGAAGAGTGTGCCAGTTCTCAACATCTTTTCATTGAAAGGCAATGACAGACAGAAAGTTAGACCTAAGCTGCAAATTTTGTTGAGTTAATGGATGATTTTTATGACATAATGAACTCAATTCGTCCACAATTTGACTCTGCGCACCCGCTTAAGATTGCTTTAGGTTTGACTGAACACGCAGAAGAGCAGTATCTTATACTTAATCAAGTCGAGTATGTAGTGAAACAAATGAGAGTTAAAGGCAAACCTAAATTGCTTCCCTTTCAGAAAGGCATTTTAGTATCAATCGCATCTTTGAGGGACATGTTTTCGCAGGCGCAGTATGGCATTAAATACATTCTTACTACCGCTCTTGAAAGTTTGTTTGGTCACCTTCGTGGGTTTTGGGGCGCTTCCACGATTATCCTAGCCCTTCAGATGTAATAACACGCCTAAGAACACTGATGGTTTCCAACAAAATGCCTATTCCATCGAGGAAGACTAACATAGTATCGGCTGAAGAGAAATGTCCTGAAATCCCAGCTTACTTGACATCGGATTTGTTGCAAATGGCATTTACAACAGAAGAAATGGGATCCTTGCAGTCCAGTTGTTCAGAAGTCGACATGCTGCAGGAGAACACAACATTTTCAGGTAATCTGTAATCTTCATAAGATAGTTCTAAATATTACAGCTGTTTTATCTAAATAAATTAAAATCATTTCGAAAATTGTATACATACATTTTAAAATTGATCTATACTATTATAAAGAAGAGGTGGTTAAAACTAATTTCTATAGCCAAAGGTGTTACAAAGATAAAAGAATAATAGTATTTATATATGAAATCTTATTCGATTGAATGGTTTGATTGTGCACTCTTATGCATTTTTCACGGATTTAGCAATGAAAAAAGAACTTTTAACTTCTTTAAGAGGTGAATTTTCTTAGAATTTACTTCATAAATGGTGTTACAAAAAATTAAAAATTAGAATCTAACAAACAAATTTAGATTATGGATAAGTTATTTATAAATTTTACATTACCCACAAGTCAATTCTCTTTTTTGATACTTTGTTTTTATTTCAGACAACCACGACGACGAAAGCGAGGAAGCCACTACGTGGGCAGAGGGAGGCAGTAAAATACATAGCTGGCTATGTTGCTTTCCGAGTGCGGAATGTAGACCCTAGTCTTGGGAAAATTGTGGAAAATGTTAGTATTTCTGAGGAGGAGCAGCCGTCTTGGATTAGAACTCCAGCTCACGGCTCCCTTACAGAACCAAGTGAACAGTGGTTTTCTTTAGTAAAAGAGTTCAAAAAGGTATTTATAGAGATGCATGGTCCCCTGTTTAAGTTTAGCAGTGAATTTGGAGTTGTTAAGGTTTTAAAAGAGAGACTGAGTGTACAATTCCCTTATATATGTAAGGAAGCTATTCACGTCTATTCCAGAATCAGGACATTTATTAGAGTTAGAGAGGTGAACAGACAGCACAGCAACAATAAGAGAAAACAAACTAAAAAAGCTATAAAATGGACAAAGTCCAACAAATAAGAAAAGAGGTTGTACATTTTTGAAATTATTAGGATGTATTAATATTAATGTATTGGTAATAAACATGTTCTATAATAACTATATTTTGCATGGATTTATTTTTCCTTGACCACAAACTTGGAGTTCAACTACTAGAGCATAGGTTTTTTGAAATGTTATGTCAGTGCCATTTAAGTGTTGATAGGCACTGTGAAATTGTAAGTGTTTACAAATCGCTCTAAGTTTTTTTGTATTTTAACATAAAACAAAAGCAGCATATAATGGATTTGAAAACCCTTTAATTTGTATATTTTAATTTAACTAAAAACTAAAATGACCGTGAGTTTACTTAAAATTTTTTGTACTTAAAATTGTCTGCCAAACACATAAATGCCTTAAAACTAGTAAAAAATGGTATTTAAAGTTCGAGAACATAATACAAAATTCTAATTAAATATTTATATTGCCATTCAAATTAGTTTTTGTATTCTAACCTAATTTTAGTAAGCTCGTCTTAACAATTGTAAAAATAAACTTTAATATATTTTGTATAGAAATATTTCTATTAAAAGAGATTAAATAAATGTTTTTTTAATTCGCAAAAATCTTAGGGAACACAAAAAAAATTTTATTGGGTTAAATATATATTCTTTTTTTTTTTCAAAAACATAATTCGCATTTTCAAAGTCCAGGACAATTCTTCCTACTTTGATCTTCAATAACAAATAGTAAATAATAATATTTATGGAATGAAATTACACTATTTGATAGAAAATTTAATTTCCTTTAAGAATGTCATCGGTGAATAAAATGGGCCATTAAATTTTTAGCGTGAATTTAATTCAAAATAGCGCGCGCACGCTGCCGAGCATTGCTTTTCATAGTACAGTACAGGCGCGGCTGACAACCACGTGACGTCACAGGGTGAAACAAGCGGGATGCAGGTACACCGGCAGAGTGGTCTACCCTAGTGAAAAAAACAATAGAAAATCATTAGACATTGAAATGATATCACTACATATTGTATTGATATCATTAGATACATAGTGATGTCAATAGATGTCTAATGATATCAAGTGGTATCATTATAGAATCTAGTGACATTAATCACTAGACATCAGTGAACTTGAAGTGATGTCTAGTGATCTCTGTTCATCTAGTGACTTTAGTATTGATATCATTAGGTGATTCAATGATATCATTTGGTTACTTAATGATATCATTTGGTTACTTAATGATACAATTGAGGGTGTAATGATATTAGTTCAAATCAGTGTCTAGTGATCATCTGCTACTTAATTTTTCCAAACATTAAAAAAATTGTTTTACTAATAGTTTTACCTAAAATTAAGAACTCAGTTAATTTTTATTTATTTAATGAGCTATGAAAAAAGTAAGATTACTATGAAAATTCAAGATTTTCTTTGGATTTTTTCAATAATACTGGTTCTGTAAGTTTTTATTTACTACATATTTTTTTAAATATTTAACTTTTAAAATTGAAAAGTAATCTCTGCTTGGAAATTGTAATTTAACATCATAATTTTAGTCTGGGAGGCAGTGCAAAGTGTAGGTTGTAGTTGTAGTTGTAGCATTTTGTATTTTTCTGAATGTAGGCTATACTACACATTTCAAGCAGGGGACATATGCATTTTAAAGTTGAGTTTATTTTAAAAGTAAAACCCTGAGGGTTGGCAAATAATTTACTATTACTAGTAAATACAAATACAACGTAAATTTAATTTATTTCAAGAGTAATATAACACTGAAGATATGTTAAGTCTCTAACTTGGACTTGACTTGGCACGCTACATGCGCCACAAACTGGAGTCAGACCGTCAGACGACAACATTCAAATTCAACTGTCAAGTCAACGCCGGGTGGAATCAGGACTGGAAAGGATCCAAGGCAACCGTAGCCGTCCTCGGCGAGTTTATTTATTTCGGTATTTTCTATTTATTTGCAATCAGATTCAAATACAATGATCTATGTTTGACAACTACCTATAGTTATAGTTGAGTACGCTAGTGAAACAACTATGGAAGCTACTTAAACATCAAGACTACAAGAAAGATAACCTCAAATTATTAAAGTTCTGTGTTCTGTGTCAGTTTCAATTATGTTATGAGTTGTTATTTCGTGACTGAGTATTGACATAGCCTACATCTTTTCACGTTTTAATCCTTAGAGCATGTAAGTAAGTATAAAAGTGTGATTATAAGTTAGTATTTTAGGACATTAGGCCTAGACCTTGCAAATAATTAAATACCAAACCTCAAAACAGGTTTTAAGGATAGGCTAGTTACAGTTTTTACTTATGTACACCTGACCAAATGTATAGGCCTAATGTTGTATACAATCTACAATTATAGGCTTAACTTACTTAGTCTATATCAAGGCTGCACTTTACTTTACGACCTACACTCATTCTAATGAAAATATCGGTTATTCGATTGTTTCATTCGATATATCGTTTGGTTAGTTAAGTTAGGTTAACCTTACTTAACTAACAACCAAACGATATAACTAATCGAATAATTGATATATCGATCGATATTTTCATTCGAATGAGTGTAGGACGTAAAGTAAAGTGCAGCCTATATCAATTGTATGTTGTAGGCCCATTTTGGGGTGAATAATTAAACTGCAAAACTGCTTTAATCTAAATAACTTAGATAAAGAATTATTCTGCTCATGAATTAGGCGTTTTTAAGAGGCAAAATAAATGCATTTACAAAACCTCCTTATTGTTTTAGACAAGATGCTGTGCAGTTTTGGTGGAAGTAACGATTTGGGTGCAGTGAAGACGACTAAGAATCCTCCTGACTCCTGACAAAATTTCTGTCCAGTAGGCCTATATAAGTTGGCTGGAGGAAGAATAAGTTTTTTTATCTTTTGCAATCTGCATGAAGTCAGCTAACTTGCGTAAGTTACTTTAGCAAATTTCTCCATAAGGAATAAGTTATTACCGTAGACACGGAAAGGCCTAGGGATCAATTTACTTTTTCATTGTGTTGTCTCCAGTTGCCATAGCCTATTGTTCTTTTAATTTTTATACAACCTAGGCTATCCATGGCAGTATAAGAATGCATATTTTTTGCTATGTAAGTTATGTGTGTTTGTCCGTAACTCGAGTAGTTTTGATCCAATTTTGATGAAATTTGATATGAGTGTCCAAAGATGACAATAGACTTGAATGAGTTTGTGAACCAGAAAGGTCAGGTTATGGGAACGGGTTGTTATAGCGATTATAAGTTTTTAGTCAAGATGGTAAAGTAAAATTAAAACTAGATTTAGGCCTATTGTACCATATCGATTAAAATTAAAATTCAAAATAAAAGGGCTTAAAAGGCTATGCTACGTTTGATTGTTGACCAAAAATCAGAACGGTGTAGGCCAAGAATTACCTGCACCACTAGTAGATATTAATGTAGGCCTAAATAACTCTGATTACTAAAAATACATTTAGGCTAACGAATAAACTGTATTAGACCCGTTGGCCACGTATTTTAGTTCTGGACCAAAATTAATTTGTGTCCGTACATGGAATGGGCCACCGCTACACAACTACCTGTTATTTGTTAAATGTATTTTTGGGTAAATTGTGTCTAGTGACAGTTTTATTTTTATGACAAAGCTATTGTGGATGCCTGAAGATATCTGATGTGTTGACAAAAACGCATCGCAAATCAGCAGTGAATGGGATTGTCAGAAGGTAGGCCTAGGTAGCCTATACAATTAATTTTTATTTTTATTTGACATTCCAGTAGTAGTAAATGAATGACCACTAGGCAAACTTTCAACTTTTGAGTTAAGATTTTGCTATAAATTGCTGCCCAAAACCCGTTTAGTATTTAATAGCGTGGATTTCTTATTCACTCCGTAATAAATGGTTTAACCGAATTTTTGTTCTGGTGAGTTGACAATATATAGATTTCAAAATATTTTTGATTGGTCATTTTTTATTTTATCGCTGTATGCCTTTTCAGGACTTTTCTGTGAACGTTTTCGAGAGGAGGTCCTCCACCAACAGAAAACGAGGTGGTCCTGCGTTGTGCTGCAGTAAAAAGTTATATCTCTCAAAAAATGTCGCAATCACAAAAAAATCCCAACCCTAATAGGCCTAGTTAAACACTAATTATTAAAAACAAAAGTAAACTTTATTCTGATTTTTAAATCAACATATTTTATTTAGCTTGGTTTCATTTTAAAGATATAATTTTTATATTGAGCAAATTCCTGCTAAACTGAAATTATGGGGATAGAACTGTCACATACCGTGTCTGTAACTAATCTTTCGAATAGTCAGGGTTTGGTGTTTTTTGTTATTGAAACCCATTTGTTTGTTTTATGAATCAAAGTACGTAGTTACTATAGGCCCTAACAGTGCAATCTTGGTCACATATTTATCTTTTTGCTACATTTGTTACTATTTTACTGATAAAAGTTTAGAAATTTGTCTCTAGAATTTTTTTCTGCCTATATCATCACAAGTTTATGTCTGTGTAAGGGTCAACATGTTATCCTACATGACACCGATCGTGGTAAGTGTTACTTAAGAGCAACATCTTATCTTCTTGACTATCTTAGGGTGGGTAATACAATAAGTAAGTGATGTCTGACGAGATTTGACTGCATCATTTGTCACCACCATGCCAAAATCATTAGACATCACTACGCAAAAGATCACTCAACATTACCTAGTGATATGTAGTTGTAATTGGGCCAACTAGACATCACTACGTTACCTAATGATCATACATTACCTAGTGATACGTAGTTGTAATTGGGCCAACTAGACATCACTACGTTACCTAATGATATCACTACGTACGTAGTGATGTCTAGTTGGCCCAATTACAACTACGTATCACTACGTATTTTTTTAATGATTCTCTAATGTTTTTTTCACTAGGGTAGCCCTTACTAGCTACTATCCCCAGCCCTGTTACTGTGTACGGCCTTATTTTTTCACAAAACTAACTTGTTGTTGAGTTGTTGGCAGGTTCACACAAGTTACTTAACTTACTAGGCCTAGGCAAAAGGCTGCACTTTAGTTTACATTAATTCGCTTAAAACTATTAAGTTGTTGTTGTATTAATAGTCAAAGGTTATATACTAGCTTATATACGATATCGATAATTTAATTTGATTGCAGGCCTAAATATTCGAGCCATATTCCTTCTGGTTTAATATCTTCAAACGTTTTTAACACTAATACCGACACCCTACCCAGGCTGACACTAACCGAAACCCGCGGTCTGTGAGACTCCATTTGAAAATAATGGAACCCGCTTAGAAACACACAAACCGAAACCCTGGGCCTGTGAGACGCCGCTTTAAAATACACTAACGCTGGGCTTCTGAGACGCAGGGCCATATTTCCCTAACGGCGGACACGGTGGTTGCCGGTGGCCTTGGCCTGGAAGGGAACCTCAAATATTTTTTCTTGATAAATTTATTTCACCAATAATCTTTTTTGCCGCTATAGCAGGAGCTGTTGATAAAATCTGAGTGACCGCAAAAGATCTTCACTATTTCACCGTTAGCGTAAGATTTGTCACTATTCGCCTGTCTTCGCCGAAGAAGAACAAGATTGTATTGCGACCACGGGAGACAATGATGATGTCCACACGGCCACAGGAAATGTACTTGATTTGGCCGCGATAGCAAAAGACGACGATCACGTTTTCGAGACCGCGGGAGACGATGATGACGTTTACACGGCCACGGGAGATGTTAATGATTTTGCCGCTATCGCAAAAGACGATGATCACGTTTTTGTGACAACGGGGATGATGGTGATGTCTACACAGCCGCGCAAGATGTTGACCAATTCTCTGTGGCCACATGAGTCGTTCATGATTCCGTTGCGATCAGAGGAGACAGAGATTACGTCTCAGCGCTCACACAAGAAAACAATAGACCCTTTTATTAGCTAGTCTTCTATGTCTTTTTTCGATCAGATTGTTGGAAACAAAAGGTCAATTCATCAACTTGAAGCAATACCACGTGTATTTCTAAACCCTTAAGTTCCTACCTTTGAAGAATCAGAATATAGAGAGGGGCCTCTCTGGTGAGAGCCACCGGGGGCCTCATAGATTCTCAATACGGCCCTGCTGAGACGGGCATGTTATGAACATACAACCGCGGTCAAGGTCACGACACCCATGCAAAATGAACAAACGATATATCAAAAGGTACCATGGGAGGAAAAGTGGGGAAGGTATTAGGGGAATGGAATCCCCCAAGTAAACAGTGTTACCAACATGCGTTTGTGAAAATTCCCGTGGGTCTGTCAGACCGGGGTTTCGGTATTTAAGGGTTAAATTAAAAAATTGACAACTGATCTTGTTTAAGCAAAAACAAAATAAGTTACGGTACAGTAACTTATAACTTGGATTAAGAAATGGAGTTGCTGTAAGTTAAGCTTACCGGTACCCCAAACCAAACCAAACTTACCTGTAACTTAGCTGTAACTTACCATTTAAAAATCCCGTTTGGGCTGCACTTTAGTATCCTTCCTATCCTCATTCGAATGAAAAATATCGATGAACTTATTTATTATTGAATGTATCGATTATTTCATTCGGTTAGTTAGGTTAGGTAAACCTAACTAACCAAACTTGATAAATAGAATGAAATAATCTATATATATAACTATATATCTAGGCTATAGATGACTTATATATATTCATTCATATGAGTGTAGGACAGATATTTAAGTGCAGCCAGGCATTTGATAACAGAAGAAGCACAAGCATGTGGGGAATAAGTTATCAGACAGAATTTTGAAATGTTAACTTACAGCAAGTTTGGTTAGTTATTTTAGTTTAGTTTGAAACAGTTTAATTTCAATATAACTTTCTTCAAAAATACTTTAATACAAACAATAACTTATCTATCAAAAAGGAAACAATGAAAAAAAGTACATTGGGTAAGTTATATAATTGATAAAATAATGGATTGAACAATCAAATTAAATAGGTAATCGATAAGTTATAGAGCCTATCGATAGTTTTATCATATAAATGTGGGGCGTAAACCAAAGTGCAGCCATGCAAAATAATATTAACTTACCTTAGGCTAAAAAAATCATCAAAATCAAAGATAGTCAGATTGAAGTGGCCTACCCCCAGGAGTTAAAAAAAATTCCATTAAGTTAAAGACAGCTTAGTACAGTATACCACTCACATTACCAGCTTATCAAAGAGGAAGTAATGGCCCCCGCCTGGGCCCTGTTTCATAAAAATACTAGTCTAGTAATTACTAGTCTAGTAAATACTAGTCCCGTATTTACCTGTCCTACTAATTTGTGTTTCATAAACGTTTTTATATCGCTAGTAAATACTAGTGTATTTTACTAGTCACGTGACCAAAACTACTAGTCACGTGACCAACTTTACAAGGTAAACTTTCAAAACAAATTTCTAACCTCAATCACGGGTGTTCAAACCCTTTATAAAGGATTTTAATTTGGTTTTCATTTAATACAAAAAGTAAATAGTTGTAGAAACGCAGTGTTTTCTTTTAATTAATAACTATATAGACACATAAGTAATACAATCACACATTATTTATCAAACCGCTATTATTTATGGTCATCAATGAGATCAATGAGCCCGCCGGCGCGGCGCGGCGTCGCGTCGCTGCATTGCTGCAATCAACACGGTGATTGTAGTAGCCGGTTGTAGGCCTAGTTGCGGAGCTCAACGGTTGGGTGGAAGTTGAACTGTTGCTGCCGCATTCGCTGTGATTTTTATAGTTTTTGTTTTATTCTGACATATAAAATTAAGCTTGCTATGAGTAAAGAAAAGAAGGCTCAAATTTTGAATGTAATTAAATCGTCTAAGGACATTTTGTTTATTGGAACGGTTTCAAGTACCCTTACCTATGTTTTCAAATATTCGAATGCATAAGGATATTTGAGTTAAAAACAATTTGGTTATATTCTAATTTTGAGTCTACAAACCATGAATAATAAGCCTAAACGTTTATTGATGTAACAAATAATTGCAACGCCGTTACAAGCAATGGAGAAGTAGGTTTTCAACTATAGTAAAACATAATCGCTACGGCAGGGCGTAGCTCAAAAGGTAGAGTTCTCGCTAGTCATTTGGCGGGTCCCAGATTCAAATCCGCGCCACTCACTATACTTTTTATTCCATTAATTTAACTTTTACATGTTTTACATTAAAATAGTAGCTCTAATCAACATCAAATTTTTTTATTACTTTGAATAACAAATTCAGAATACCAAAATGGATTAAAAGTAATGTTTTTATGATAAGCAGTTCAGTTCAACGCCAAAAAATCAAATATAGGCCAACAAAATTGTTAGTACATCACAGGGTTTTAGCTATTTAGGGAAGCAAATAATAAGCACCTCAAAAAATACAATGCAACTCCTCTTTAAAATTGTCTTACTATTATTTCCTATTAAAATGTCTTTAAATATAACCGAGAGCCTTGGGTGTAAAATAATCTGATTAATGTTGTAATGTTGGATACATTTGTTACATCTTTGTATGCAATATGGTATGCGGTTTTAATTTGGTTTCTCTCAAAGCTTAAAAATCTTTTCTCTGTGATAGCTAAATAGTTGATAACCATGAAATTTAACTCAAGTAAAATTAGACTAAAATTTCACAGAAATTGATAACTTATAATTATAATTAATTCTAATAGGGCGATTGTACATACATTATAAAATTCTATTTCTCTCATTTTTTACTACGCCACATTTATTGATTGTAATTTATATCTAATAATTATCATTTTAGCACTCACAGATCTATTTTTATTTTATATTGCAAACGTGAGCCAATTCGCACTTGCAAAAAGAACTTAATAATTCATTTTTAGCGAATTTCCCTATAGGGAAGTAGCTATTACCGTAGGTGGCACGGTAAGACCTAGACCCGGGACCGATTTACTTTTTCATTTTGATGTCCCCAGAGGCCAAAAACACCATTCGTTCAAATTTTTATATATGTGTATATATATATATAGACTTATATATATATATATAGACTTATATATATATATATATAGACTTATATATATATATATATATATATATATATACGTCTGTGAACGCGATAACTTGAGTAATTTTTGTCCAATTTTGATGAAATTTGGTTTAAAGGTGTAAAGCGGGATAAACTTAAATGAGTTCGCGAACCAGCACGATCGGACCATGGGAACGGGGCTTTACGAGGGGTTTTATGGGGTAAAAATTGGTTTTTCTCACTTTTGACCCTCAAAACACAAAATTTCCCGATTTCTCTTTAGACCTTTTTAAAGAGCTTAAAAAAACAAATAATTTAGTATATAAAAGTATTTTTGTTCGATTATTAGTAACGGAGAAAATTAAAAAAATTGTAAATTTAAAATTCCCATGTTATTCTTATGGAGAATATTGTCAAATGTTGTAGTTTGCTTGTTTATGGATATATTTTGATCAAACTTGGCAAATTTATTTATTTTGTACTAAAGTATCAATATTTTACTCAAAAACCTACTTTATTAGTTTCCTTGTAGCAGCAAACCTAGGTACTTGTTAAAACTAATGTTTTTAAAATATATTTAACTGAAAATCAATTCAGACAAATGGAAATTCGCTTAGTCGGCAGGTTTGCTGCGGCGGGGGTATTTTTTCATGATGTGATTAATGAAATAACTCTCTTTCCAAAAATACTAGTCTACTTCAAATAATACGGGTGTAGAGAGGTTGTTAGAAAATGGCAAGTATTTACCAGTGTAATTTACAAGAGTAAAACTTTATGAAACACATTGCTGTCCACACTAGTAAAAACCACTAGTAATACTAGTCCCTACACTAGTAACTAGTATTTTACACTAGTAGGTTTTTGAAACGTAGACTTGTAAAATACACTAGTATTACTAGTCCATGGACTAGTAAATACTAGACTAGTAGTTTTATGAAACAGGGCCCTGCTAATCGGGCAAATGTTGATAAAACCCATGAGCTCAACTGATAAGAATCAGAATCCTCATTTATTGTCCTTCAACATAACATACATGCAACTCACATACATGCACATACATGCATAACATAGCATGCATGATGGACGGACAGTGTCATTTTTAACATATGCCTAATAAATAAAAAATAAACATACAATTTGTAATATATTGGCTTATAACTATAATTAACATGTTATTATGATATATTAACATGATAGATTACTACTAGGACCTAATGTAACTAAAAAGTACCGGGGACTGGCAAGCATATTTTAAGAATTCTCATCAAGAATGAACTAACTTACTATGCTTCACTATCTACGTCTTCAGTAACTATGATGAAGATGAGACACGAGATCTGTCCAAAGTAATCAGTTATGACAGTAATATAACTAATCTAACACTAACTTTTGATAAGAAGATAACAAAACGAAGGTAGGAGCACGTTATACAAAGGGGCAGGCATCTAAGTTCTGGTCTGGACTGGATCTGCTGGAGGAGGAAGAGTGAGGAGTGGAGGGAGAGTGGAGGGAGGCATCGCATCATTCGCATCAGTCAAGTCAAGTCAGGACAGGAGGGGATGCAGCGCCAGTGTCGGCCGGAAATCAAATCTCTTTGTGGAGGGGAAAACTAGGCAGACCGGGAGCGTTGATTAAACATCATATTCTTACAGTATTTTATATGTATTTCAAAGTGTTGACCTTTGTAATTATTGTATATTATAGACGATACTACTATACAGGAAAATATAGGTTAACTTTGACTTAATATTTACTTTTTGAATGAGATAACTGTATATTTGTGGATTTTGACTTTGCCTCTTTTATTGATAATAATATCAGAGGGCAGGCAAGAGTTTTCTACCTTTCCTTAAATTTTCACAATTATTGTGGTTTATTATTTATCACCTATAATTATTGTTATTTATTTATAATTAGTGCTATTTAATTGTGCACGTGTATAATTTGCAACACTTATATTGTTAAATATTTATTATTTTAATATATCTACTTAGCCACTTAGCAAGATACCCAAATGGCGGCATGAGAGTTTTTAATGCATGGATGCTCTAGACTCGAAATATGTTATAAATTCTATCGGCACCAGAGATCAGTGTCACCAGACATGACCTAGGACCCAATACTAGCTTACAAATTTACAATTGTCAATTGGATGAGAAGTTCATACTCAGGCCCGATTTTAGCGAATTTCCCTTTCTAGTATTCGTGGAAGTAGCTATTACCGTAGGTGGCACGGTAAGACCTAGGACCGGGACCGATTTACTTTTTCATTTTGATGTCCCCAGAGGCCATATACACCATTAGTTCAAATTTGTATATATCTATATATAAATATATATATAGATATATACACGTCCGTGAACGTGATAACTTGAGTAATTTTTGTCTGTTTTTGATGAAATTTGGTTCAAAGGTGTAAGGCGGGATAAACTTAAATGAGTTCGCGAACCAGCATTATCGGACCATGGGAACGGGGTTTTACAGGGGGTTTTATGAAGTAAAAAAATGGATTTTCTCATTTTTTACCCTCAAAACATAAAATTTTACAATTTCTCTCTATTTTAAGAGCTTAAAACAAATAATTTATTATATCAAAGTGTTTTTGTACGGTTATTGGTAACAGAGAAAATTCAAAAAATTGTAAATTTAAAATTACCATGTTATTTTTATGGAGAATTTTTTAAAATGTTGTAGTTTTCTTGTTTATGGATATATTTTGGTCAAACTTGGCAAATTTATTTATTTTATACTAAGCTATTAATATTTTTCCAAAAAATACACTTTATTAGTTTCCTTATAGCAGCAAACCTAGGTACTCATTAAACCTAATGTTATTTAAATAGATTTAATTGAAAATTAATTCAGACAAGTGGAAATTCGCTTAGGAAGGGCTTAGGTTTGCTGTGGCGGGGGTATTTATCCTGTCAGCGCCCTAGACAAAACTAATAGTACCACCCCTTTGCAATATACATACAATATGACTTTTACATATTGTCCAACGACCAGGAATTATGCGTAAGTTTTTTAAACCTGGAACTTTCAATTTACCACAATCGCGCATGACAAAAGTGGTCTATCCGTAACCGCGGGAGACGATAATATATGTCTACACACGGCCGCGAGGGTTGGCAAGAACTTTTTCACAATCGCAGCTAGAAGCCGAATGTCTTCAAGACCGCGGGAAACAGTAATACTAAAATACTCCCGCCGCAGCAAACCTGCAGACTAAGCGAATTTCCATTATTGACTGATTGGATTTACAAATGTCTCCTTAAAAATATCACATTTAATTTATTCCCTAGAATTAGTTTAACGAGTACTTAGGTTTTCTGCAACTGGGTGGGCACTGTTTAAACGTTTTACTTTTGTAAAACTTTAATAGTTTATAATAAGAAAAATGCATTTTCCAAATTTGATCTAAATATGTTCATAAACAAGCAAACTACAACTCAGTGCCGGATTTAGGTTACCTGAGTCCCTAGGCCAAATTACTTGAGCGGCGCATACACCAATGGGGGAAATTCCTGGCGATTGCAGAAAATAAATCGTGAACAGTACCCGTGGGCCGCAATCATAACGACTTCTTCAGTCGGGTTGCAATCATGACGACATCATCAGCGTCACCCGCGGCCTTGGTAAAATAGTGAATATCTCCCATGGGCCGAAATCACCACCACATCTTCAGCGACCATGTCAAAATCGTGAATATCTACCATAGGCTGCAATCATTGGGACATCCGAACGACACGTGGCAATTAATAGCAAAATTATGAACACGTCCCGTGAGCCGAAATCACGGCGATAGCATCATCGTCACCCGCCACTGCGTCCAAATCTTTATTATCTCCCGTATAGGCCACAATCACGGCTACTTTATCAGCGTCACCTTCGACTGTGGCGAAATCGTGAATATCCCCTTGGGCCGCAATCATCCATGTCACCCACAATCGCGGCAAATTGATAACTAAAAAAATATTGGTCTTTAAAAAAAAAAGGAATATGATTATCAACCCATTGCGGCCCTAGGCCACGGCATAGTGGCAAATCCGGCACTGCTACAACTGTTTACTTATTCTCCACAAGAATAACATGACTAATTTAAATTAAATAAAAAGTATCAAAAAATGGGGGTTTAAAGTTTTTGAGTGTCCCCTCAAAAGGGGGGATTTGGGGGGCAACTAAAAATTTTTTAATGTAAACCCCTATCAAGTGATACCTTATTTTGAAGTGTTTACAAAAACTTAAAGAATGGTGAAAACTATAGGTCGCTATCTCTTCTCTAACCAAAATGGTAGCCAATATTAACATTACGAACCAATTTTACCATTGATTTTATACAACATTTGATGGGCTACCATTTTGGATAGAGAAGAGATAGTGACCTCTAGTTTTCACCATTCTTTAAGGTTTTGTAAACACTTCAAAATGAGGTGTCACTTGAAGGGGGTTTACATTTAAACTATTTGAGTTAACCCCCAAATCCCCCCTTTTGGGGGGACACTGAAAAATTTCAAAATCATAAAATGTAACTTCCTGCTAAGATTGCATGACCACCAAAAGGATATATTTGTATATTTAATGGGGAAAATATTAAAGGGGGGGTCTTGACTTTTTATTCACCCTGTATAAATCTATAAAACAAGTAGAACAAATAGTATTTTGGCCCCTGGAGACATAAAAATGAAAAAGTAAATCGGTCCCGGGCCTAAGTCTTATGGTATATAGCTACTTCCCTCTAAGGAAATTCGCTAATATTGTTCTAATGTTATTAATTTTCTCCTGTCATTTCATGGACTCCTATCTTAAGAGTTACTGAATAGAATACCATGTTTTCACACTACTGTTTGCCCTGTTTTATTACAAGAATAAAAATAGGATATAAACTTGCAGTTAATAACGCTTTCCCTAACCGAACATATCTCAAAACATACTTCATAATTTACAATAGAATGAGAAGACTACTTACAGTATCCATAGAGTAATGATACAACCATTGACTATATATACCTTACAACCTAATAAGGTGTTAAAGTGTATAAAAAGTGTCCAGCATTGAACAACTGGCTGGGCACCATCCAAATCAACAATTTGGCCATACCTCTTACATTAAATCTTTGTAATATTACTATAGCAGATTTTTTCTCATTTTAACACATAATTTTCTATCACTTGGTTTAGTTATTTATACCCTGACAAACAAAATATTTAATAACATAATATTCTCAGTTGCGCATCTTGGACTAATATTTTTTAGTTAACGATGAAGACTGAATGCATAATGCCTACAAGGATTCAAGGTCCAGGGAACAGGAAAATATTCACATTTCCCTGTAGGGAAATTCGCTAAAAATCTATATTTTAGCATAAACAGAATAAATGCAGGGTGTTTTTCAAAGAATGCTGGGATTTTAAATGGCAATTGCTTGGATACTATTCCAACTAAACGTTTTATATGTCAAATTAAAGCTGAAATAACTAAGTTTTGTTCCCCGAGTAGCAAGGGAGGAAATTTTGACCTTGGCATGCGCAAAACAGGTGCGGGGTGTTAGGCTGCTATTGCGACTCCCACGCCTGACGCCAGTGCAATGTTTAAGGCGCAATAGAAGGCACAGAGTGTTCTGTGGGTTACAGAGTTTATATTGATAGCTAAATTTAACTAAATTTAAATCTACTTGTTGATTAATACCAGGGCCGTCCGAAGGGGGCAACCGGGGCAAGCTGTGCCGGGCGCCGTGGCTGAGGGGGCGCCGCGCGGCGGCTATTTGTATTAACATGGTATTAAAATATGCGAATGTGACTATTATTACTGGGGGGAGGAGGGGGCGCTACGACCACATTTGCTCCGGGCGCTGCCAAACCTAGGGACGGCCCTGATTAATAAATTTGACACTGGTTTAATGAGTTTCGAGGCACTGTAGTGTTTTGAAGACATTCACCTGGCCGGCTAAAAACAAGTGATGGCATAGTCGAAGAAATTCGACAATTCTGCTTCAGAAGCCCCAAAAAATCAATTGACCGATGAAGTCTTCAGTTGAACAAACCTAAATTGGTCACTTTATGATGTTATCTGTAAAAGATAGTCTTTGTGCCTACAAGAGATTCAGTCAAGACATCAGATAAACTTGCCGATCGCCCTAAGCATACAGACTTGGCCAGTTTTACAGTCATATACGATTGATGAAAATATTAATTTTATTAAATTATTCCTAAGTGTATAATAGTATAAGAAAAAACTTTGTTCTTTTTTCTTCAATTTGACCCATAAAAAATTTAATTATCTTGAATAGTCCCCGAGCAACGACTGTTTAAAATCCTGGCATTCTTTTATAATAACCCTGTATAGACTGCCAAAGGAAGGTTCTGCGATGTGTGCCGTAAGTACACGGCAATCCTAGCAGTGGATGCCAGGACTTATGCTAACTGTAGTACAGCTGACGGTCTATATTTTATTCCACTCGTCTATGATTTTAGGGACTAATTGATACAAATAATGTAAGTACATTTAAATTCAAATTGTAAACAAAAACCATATCAATGAAATAATTCGCTTGATTTCAATTTTGAAAACTTGGATGTAGAGCCTAGATTAATTGAGCGGAGCGATCGAAGCTCCTTGAGATCAGGCCTTATGCAAACTGTGTAATTCAATCATGCAATAACGGCTGAACACATTGAAGCCAAAAATAATTGGGCTATTTAGATGAACAGTGAGCATTTTATTAAAGAAACAAATTATTCAATTTTATAAAGCCTACCGTTTTGAAACTAGTGATGTGCGATACGTATCGTATCGTATCGGAATATCGCGATACGCGAGGGACGATACGATATTTGAAAAACGATACGCATCGTATCGCCTAAAACGATATTTGTATTTATATCGGCACATAGAGCGATACGATTCATGCCAAAACGATATTTTTAAGCTTTTTTTGCGCAGGCTCCCGCAGGCCTAGCAAACTGCAAAATCTTTACTCTGTGGATGTGTAGTTTGAAATAGGAGTTTTAGACGTCTGTATTTTTTGTTTTTACTTGATAATGTACCAGTCCCATCCCAGTCCAGTCCATTTCCACTAACGTGCTATCTAGCACTAGTAGTGCAGAGTGTGGGAACTGTCACGGCCGCCTTTAACTCCAGGCCGCGGCCTTCGAAGTGGCAACGTCGCAAGTAGTGTTGTAACAGCTGTTTCGTCTGGAAGAAGCTAATGCTATTTTCGTATTTATGAAAGATTTGTTACTGGACTATGACAATATTGACTCCCGCTTAAAATGTACAGATTTAATTCGTATTGTTTCGGTTTTCAATTATGTATGTTTTATTTTCAATATTTTAATACATTTATGTTCATAAATTTAAATAAATAAAGTGTGAATTAATGAGCTGATGTTACCTGTCTGCTATGTTATCTTATGGGACGTCTGTCACTAAACAACACCACTTGCGACGTTGCCAATTCTACCAGGCCGCGGCCTGTATAATTAAAGGTGGCCGTGGAACTGTCTGTGGCAATTACTACATTAATTTATCTGCAATCCTAAAATGCTATCGGAAGGATAGGGAAACAGGTCCAAGACCTAGGGAGTTGTAAAGGAAGTAGTAAAGGCGAGCAGCGTGGAGTGTGGAAATGGATTAATGTATCTGCAATACTAAGACTGTTTTCTGAGTAAACTAATGATTTTCCCCGAGCAAAGCTTGGTCCCCAGGTACTTATATAAGTTAGCCGTTTCTAGGTTAGGTAGGGGAGGGGGGAAACGATACGATACGTATCGTTTTTCGATATTTTTGACGATACGATTCGCGTATCGCGATACAGACGCCCGATTCGATACGGCGATACGATATTTTTTTCCGATACGTATCGTATCGCTGTATCGCGATACGCGTCCGTATCGCCCATCACTATTTGAAACTAACATAACAAATTTTCAATTTTTAATAGATAATTGTTGTTCTGATATTAAGGATTGATTTTAAATGCTGATTAAATTGGAAGATTTTGTGAACTTAATAGTTATACAAAGACTTAACATCACAACTATTTACATTATGCCTTGAAATTAAGGAAATCAATAGAAAAATTGTTTCCTAAATGAAGTGTTTGTTAATTGCAGATAAATTTAACATTAGACAACCAATAAGTTCTAGAAGGCGTGGTAATCCATCCGAATTGTGACGTCCGCAACTGAAAATGCAGAGAAGCATTGACTATTGCCGAGTCACCTGGAAAGTAAACATTTTGCACAGTAATTTGTATTTTTCATATAAAAAAAATAAATTCATATTGATGGTTTTTGGCCCAGGATCACTTCTTGAATATTAATACCCCCGCCGCAGCAAACCTGCAGACTAAGCGAATTTCAACTTGTCTGATTACATTTTTACTAAAATATTTCCATAAATAAGACATATTATTCCCTATTTAAATAACATTAGATTTAACAAGTGCTTAGGTTTGCTGCTACGGGGAAGGTAAAAAGTGTTTTTTGACCATACATCAATATAGGATGAAATAAATAAATTTGCCAAATTTTATCAATATATACCCATAAACAAGTAAACTACAAGAATTTTCATTTTCTCCATAAGAGTAACATGGGTATTTTTAATTACACTATTTTTGAATTTTCTCCGTGACCGTTAGGCATACAACAGCGCTTCAATATACTAAATTATTTCTTTTTTTAAGCTCTACAAAACGTTTTATAAAGAAATCACAATTTTTTGTTTTTAAGTTCAAAAATAGGAAAAACCCATTTTTACCCCATAAAACCCCCCATAATCCCCCGTTCCCATGGTCCGATTATGCTGGATCGCGAACTCGTTCGAATAAACGTAGGTTTACACGTTTGTACCAAATTTCATCAAAATCGGATCATTTTTGCTCAAGTTATAGCGCTAACGGACACATATACAGTAGAGTCCCGCAAACTCGGCGTAATGTGGACTGAAAGGGTGCCGAGTTTGTGAAATGCCGAGTTATTGGGAACTAGGCTTAACAATACAGTTTTGAAGCTTTTCAACCGCCTTTTTTATTTATATTTATATTACAAGTCAGTATTAAGTCATCAGATATAGTGAAACAAGTCCTTGGTGCCTTAGAAAATAAAAAAATGTATACTGTACATACATATTTAACTAAAAATCACAAATTTTCTGAGCCAGGTGATGGCCGAGTTATCGAGTGCCGAGTTTGCGGGATTCTACTGTATATATGAATTTGAACGGATGGTGTTTTTGGCCTCTAGGGACCTCAAAATGAAAAATTAGATCGGTCTTGGGTCCAGGTCTTACCATGAGTACTACGGTAATAGCTTATTCCCTATATGGGAAATTCGCTAAAATGGTATAAAATTAATTGGTTTCAACCTCGAAACCGGTGACAACAACTTTATCAATGATTATGGTTTCGGAACCACTAACAGTGGTTTATTCAGAACCAAAATAACCTATTTCATACGATGCTGGTTTCTTTTTTTTTAGGTTAAAGGTATATTCAAGAGTAAAGATTGATTCAAAGGCTTTAAAATTACAATAGTGAGGTGGACATATTTAAACATGAACGTTGCATTTATTTCAATGTTAGGCGATAGCGGGAATTCTCATCATCAGCACTTAACATGCTAAGAGAATTGGAACCAAACCCGCTTCAAGATGTCATTTTTGCAGAAGTCAAAGATTAAACACTAAACTGGCAGTAGCACCTTGTTCTTCAAAGCACATTACTAATACCCAGTAGAGAACGATCTTTAGTATTTTGATTTACAAAAATAGAATCATCCGATAAGCAAGTCAGAAATATCACTACGGTATTAACATTCAAGTGCAATATCCTTAGGAAAGCTTAGTGAGATTGCTCATGCATTTTTAAAATTATTAATGACTTATTTCTTAACAGCTAAGTTATTATTTTTTTATTCATATGGTAAACATGAATTCAAATAGTTCAAAATATTAATGTAGGTAACACTACTTACCAAAGCTACCTAAGAACACACAATTCCTGGAATGTGAGAAATAATACAAGGTTTAGAAAAACACATCATGCCTGTTTTTGTAATTTTAACGTTTATGGGTTTCTCAAAATATCAACAAGTACATTTGTTTGGAAAAACAACCTACTAATCACTTTACACTTTAAAAATATAACACCAGAACTTATTCGGAACTGTAGCTTTCCCTAAACGAACGTCCGTTCGTCAATACAAACTAACTGTCTCTATAAAACGAAACAAACAACATCAGGTAATCTAAACCGGTATTAAAACGATCGATTTGTACATCGCTAAAACTGCATCGTTAAAATACTCAATAAATCTCTATCATTACAAAATGTTTTTACATAGACTCGAAAAATTAAATTAACAACGTGAGCGTAAAACATAAATACTAACTTATCACTTCTCTTTAAAATATAAACATTTTTTACCTTGCCTTATATATATATATTTATATACTGATGAGAAATATCTAACAACTATTCTACCTACAATATGTAAATATGCATTCACTTGAAAAAGGGCGAAACATGCAACAGCATCGGCTGCCGGCCGGGACAGTCTTTTACGGTATGTACAAGGAACGACACCACCTTACGAGGACTCGGACGCGTCAGGGAGCTGATTGGCTGCTACCCACGAGTTGAAAACGTCCCTGAAACAAGACAACACTCGTGTGAGCTTACATCTTCTAATCACTAATCAACAGTATGTGTCAGACCAAACGTAGAGATTTGATGGGTACTCTGCAAGAACAACTGTCTTAGGTTCCAATACAAATGTAATTCAGTAGAATTAGTTATTTCAATCATCGATGAGGTTACACAAAAATAACATTAGTACTCTTTACAGTGTTACTGATGAAATAGCAGAACATACCAAGTTAAGGACTCACATTAGGTAGATGGTGAGTTGTAAATCTGTTGGTGGTATATATTGGCTCTGGTGTGATTGACTCAAGAGTGACAAGCACAGTATTATTATTTGTTATTTCTCTTAAGTACACTATCGCTAATCCATTTTCTTGAATTCAGTTAATTCACAACCAGTTAAGATAAGAAGTTAGGTCTGGAATAGGTTATGTTAGGTAAGGACAAGGTGGGTATAGGGTGCCAATTTGTAAATTATTGACGTATTGGTAATAAATATAAGAATCAGGGCAAGTAAATCCAAACGTATGGGTGAGGAATTTTCAACAGGGACTTGTTTACCATCAGAAAATGTTGATTTTTTTCATAAATAATTCTAAATAGTGTCAGATGGAGAAAGTTTTGTTTAAGTGTTTATTGATATATCTCAGATTAGACAAAATAATTTTTCTAACTAGATTCCTATCAGGAAATCTATTAAAACCTGATTATTGCACAGAAAGTGGAAAACCACACTAGCCTATCTCATTACTAATAAATAAAATAAACAATAAAACAGTAAACAACAATTGCAAGTGATAAAAGCCAAGTAAATATGCATTTAATTTAAAGTATGCAGAACATGTCCTTTTGCTAATACTGTACCTACTGATAGGCTATTTGAAATGGTTGAAGTGGTTGAGAATAATCGGAAAACCACCAAACTCAATTACTTGACCTAAAATAAATTCTATATTGCCATGTACTTACTTGCAGTGGGTGACGACACACTCATTGCTGCAATACTCGTCTTCCCACTCCGGGTTGGTGGTGGCGGGGTTGGGGCAGCCGTGACGGATACACTGTTGTGGGGCTGCGGGGCTCACTGACTGGAGGGGGTCACCCCCGTTGTTGCCCCCCTGTAACACCAGCCCCACTACCAGCTCAATTATCGGAGCTTCTACCAAATTTGCACTTGCACTAAGTTAATACTAATAAGCCTATATATTTGAGAAACTATCACATCAAACCCCCTTTTAACACCCCCACCTTAAACCAAAATGTGTGTTAAGTTAACCAAAAGAGAAATAAGACATCAATTCAAATGGAAAATACATAAGGAAACGGGAATTGTCCACCTTGGTTTGGATAGTTAGCAACCACTGAGAAGATAAAAGTTCAAAAATTACTGGTCAATTATTTTTAGAAATAGGCTAGGTAGTGTTTTTTTTATAGAATTGAGGATTTCAAGATGACAGGCATTATTAAAATAACTACTGCCCTTCAAAGGAAAATTCTCTAACAACAAACAAAAACTGATGGGTGTTGTTGTGTTTGATAAAAAAATGTTTTAAGTTATAATTAATCTAAGGCAACTTAAGTTTATGACCAGAATTTTTCAACAAAATCATGGGCCAAAGCAAGCTAAACTTACTTTGATTCAATAAGTTAACCTAAAGATTTACTTTTAGCTCAAAGGCCAAAATAGCACTGCTTTCAAACCCCTAGTTAACACCATACATTATTATTTTTATGTACAGGCCTACAACAAACCATCCAAGTTTTTTAAAAACACTTAACTTTTAAACCACTTTTAAAATCTAAAACAAACAACTCAGACTTTGGCTAATACCTGCTGCTGTTGCATGTAGTTTGAGCCAATGTTGTTTGTCTGTTGTTGTTGTGAATTTTGCTGTTGTTGCTGTGGTAATTGTTGTTGTTGGCCCATATGTCCACCAATCATCCCCTGAAAATATAATCAATTTAAGTTAAGTTAGTTAGCAAGGCCTAAATGAATATTTATAAAATAAACAATTTAGTGCAGGTACTAACTTATGTCGTTTCCAAAATGTCGTTCAACTTCCAGAAATAAACTTTAAAGACAATCTTAGTTGTGTGAAATACCTACAGTAACTGGAATTGATTCCCAAACCAAGTTTATTATTGTGATAACTCATTTGCGGAGATGTTATAAAAGTGATAATTAAAGGACCAAATCAAGTGCAATAGTTTGTAAAATATACGGTATCAGCAATCTGACTTTCCAGAACTGTTTTCCTCTTAAGAAAATTAAAAAATCTGGTCACAGATGCATACTTAAAGCTGGCCTATTATGGCCTCTTCCACAGCTTGATGAGCTATGGTGTCATTGTCTGGGGACACGCTTCAGAGACTAAGAACATTCTGATTGTTCAAAAGGCTGCCATAAGAGCCATAACGTCCAGCGAAAGACACGAACACTGTAGGCCACTTTTCCGAGCCCTAGGAGTAATGACTAGGCCTATCTACAGCCAATTCATTTATAACCGTCTGGTGCAGACCAAGGAAAATATAGATACCCGTAACCTCAGCTGCAGAAACCACCTACATCGTTATAATACAAGAAAAGGAGACGATTTTTTAAACGTTCCTTTCTGCAGGCTTAGTAAACAAAAAGACTGTCATCCGGCCCTTGGCATCAGACTTTATAACCACCTGCACCAGGACATAAAGTCACTCCCTCTTAAGAGCTTTAAAAAGAGAGTAGAGGAGCTACTCAAGGCGCGGCCCCTGTACTCCATGAAGGAATATTTCACAGAGGAAAATGGTGAATGGACCTCGTAATCTACAGCCATGTTAACCGCATAAATATATAAGTTAAAGTATTAAAACTAAAATGTTTTTTCTTTGACGAAATCTAGGGGTATTAATTAACTTTCCAGTCACTACTGGTCATCGATGGATACATGGTATAAAGGTATGACACATACTTTCTCCCATAAGTTTGTCAACAACCTTTATCATGGGTAGCGGTGGACGATACTATGATATTTTATAGGGAAATATCACAAAAGTTGAAATAACTTTTGAATCGTAGGCTAATTGTTACAGCAATGGGGGGTTGCTTTATTTTTTTTTAATTATTAGGACGTATAAAAATAACACACCAATTTGAATCAAAACCAGTTTTTTCCTAAAATCCAACATAGCCTATATTATTTTATGGGTTTTATGGGAAAATAACATAGGCCTAAGTTATTACAATAGGCTACGCTTTACTTTAGGTCCTACACTCATTCGAATGAAAATATAGATTATTCAATTGTTTCATTCGATATATCTTTTGGTTGGTTAGATTAGGTTAACCTTACCTAACTAACCAAATGATATAACTTATCGAATAATCGATATACCGATCGATATTTTCATTCGAATGAGTGTAGGACCTAAAGTAAAGTGCAGCCTTAATAACTTTGGAACCGTAATTTTGAGGAAAAAGGTGTTTGTACTAGAGTTTAAAGGACTAAGTTATAGTAGGCTATACTTAATTTATATCAAAATCGTTCGGGCCATTTCCAAGAAAATCCTATTTGTCCGTTATCTTATGGGGTTTTTTAAGGGGAAATCACCATTAAAAATCAAAATTTCAAAAAAATGCCTAGAGGTAAGTTACCATGGATTATGGATATTTTATAATAGGCCCTAAGCTGCCTGAGCCTCTTCAGGCAGACAGCCTTTCTCTTCCTCTTTTCAAATCCAAAATTCATAACTGGCTTGTAGCAAATGCGTTCTAAGTTATACTCAGTTAAGGACTTTTAGAAACATAAATTTATAGCCTACAATGGAATCATTCATACTGTAAATTAGTACAAAAGTAACTTACGACTCATCTGGAATTGTTCGATTCATAATGAAACGAGAAAAGTCCTACAAACATATATGAAAACCCAACCTAACATAATCGCCGCAGCTTACTGTATAAGGGTGGCCTCCGGATAATACCAAAATACCTACCGAATTGATCGATAACTAACTTAAAAAGGCCTTTAGCCAAAACATCAAACTTCTAAATTGATTGTAAGTTAACAATCAATAATTACGTTGGAGTCGTATAACTCAACTTTTAAAGTTTTGCAGATGAAGAAAGTTACTTAGCCTAGGCATACAGTAAGATATATTTATAGGCACTCCATAAACTGAGTAGTGAGCTCTTTTTCCTAGAGCAGAGTCCGGGCCTGGATATTGATTCTTCACTGGCAATAACTTAGGGCCTAGAAAAATGTACCACCAAATTGGGCCCGACAGTTAACTTTGGCTTTTCTGTTTAACACGTTCGCGGCGGCACGTCAAATGGCGGGCGTATCCCAGGTGCGGCGCAGCCCTCAGCATCGAACAAACCCGATTGCCGCGTGTGATTGGCTTTCCAATTTCGGTTTGACAAATAGCAAATAACGTGCGAGGATGTCCTGCTTTACAGCGAGAGTCGACATAGTTCGCTCAACACCCACAGATAGCAGCGCTGCTTGTAACGTAGCCGGTCCCATTGGAATTGTATTGCCAAATGGAGGGAAAAAGAGGGGACAAAAAGTAGAATTTTGAGATTGCCAGACGGGGATTTTACGGGGAAATTTACTACCAACCTAGGCCTACACCACAACAAATACAGCATACTATTGAGCAGTGCTGTGCGAGGATTCAAGTTTCTAGCTCTAATCCTGGCTTAAAAATAAATCATTTCGTACTGCATTGCAGCTTGGGAGCGATCGCACCCACCAGGATGGCATTAGGGTTCCGTATGGGAGCGATCACTCCCATGCCGCTGTGAAAGTGTTAAAAAGCCTGTTTTGGTTTTTCACTCTAGGCTATGCAATGGTGTGTAAAAACACATAATTTACATAGCCTATATACAATTATTTCTCAAAAAGACTATATTTATCAATGTGTGATTCAAATCATAGCCTATGTTTTGTTTGTTTATACATATTTTAAAAACAAACTTATAATTATTACAGTCCACTGCTACTTTCATTTAACATGTACGGTACTAGATATTTTCTATCTTTTATTTTACAATTCAATTCAATTTCACTTTACACAATGGACTGTGCAATGTTTTCAGCAATAAGCTAGGCCTACACTCAACCAGTCAAAAACAACATTCCACAGAATAATTTCAAAACGGTCAACATGTAGGTACCTTAACCCTCCCAGTGCACCTCAAAGTGCACCACACTTTGTATAGTGTTACTTGCCGATTTTTCGACAAGCAGACATCGTTTACGGCGAAGGCTCTATAACTGACTGAATCGGATTGAACTGGATCGAGTTAGGTATCGTTCTTTCCGTTACATTCTAAGCTGTCTCCAGATGTCTGTCTCTAAGCGCTATTCATTTTAGTTCTGAAAATATTGTAGCAGACAGCTGACGTGCGTGTATTTGTAAACAGCTAGGTTCCCCCGGACCGATGACTGATGTGTTTTATTACGTTTATCATTGTTTTAGTGTTAAAAATCAAAAGTAGTGATATACGTGGTGCATTATAAGAAGATTTAAGTGGTTTTGAAGTGCTGGTTGATGATCCTGAAGAAGTAGGTAGTGATATTGATGTAAATTATCAGCCAGATTCCTAGCTATGGTTAGGCTATGCATTCTTAGCTAAACGCTATGTACTGAAATCAGTTTTTTGCCCATAACTTATTTATTTGCAAATATAGGCCTACTTCCTTATATTATTATATATTTGTAATCCTCATAAAATTTAGAACAAAGTGGCTATTTTCAAATATTTATAGGCCTATAATTTATACAATTTCATTAGGCGCAAACTTATTTTTTTTTTGAAAATTTTCGAAATTATATTTTTTTTACCTAAAAAATTTTTTTTTTGAAAAAATGTTCCTTATGTTTTATATATAATATTGAAGCCCATGATTTTCCAAACAAAATGGTATATAGAACATTAGAATTAACATTGTTTTAAGCTTCTCAGATCCGTTTTAATAAAACCTTGCAAATGCGCCAAAAATAGGTGGACATTAAGGCCTAAACTATGGACACTTGGAGGGCTATCATGTTAACATGTAAACAAGGTAGGGCCTAACTTAAAACATGATAACTTAGTCTAGCCTAGGCCTACTACAAATTTAATAACTTAAGTGATACTGGTGTCTTATAAACCCTGGTCTAGTTTTAGAACAAAATCTTAAGTAACTTAAATGTAAACTTATACTGTGATAATCTGAAGCGTATAGTTCTATTGCGACAAACAAACCACTCAGGATACCAAAATTGGATATAGGCCTAGGTAGATAAGGTTATGACAACAATCCTTTCATGTAAACGAGGCTCATTTGACCACATGATAAAATATCTCTAATTCTTATCCTATCACGAGCATAATATACATTGCAAATAAACTTACGAATAGTAAATGTAGACTTAAATTTTGATTAAACCTCAAAACACAACCAACGCCTTAAAAGAATTCGCGAACCGGTCAAAATTTACAAAACACCACAAACCACAAACACTAACAACAACCTCAATCCTCCTCAACCGCTAACAACAAACGAAGAAACGTAAGTAACGTAACGTACACTCAAATCAAAATGGCTGCTGCTGAAGCTCAAGCTAGCCGAAGCTAAATCAAAATCAGAACACAACTGTCTGTTTGAAGAAATTCCGAGGAGTAACTGCTGCCATGTAGCCGTTCCACCAGATGTCACGATAATTAGCAGGTAGCCTATCTCTTTCCTCTTTTCCGGATGCCGAATTCAAAAAGGGGGTTGAATATCTTTTAGGTAATCCGATTAAATTTACTTATTTCAAAGAGTTTTTTATACTTTTTTTATTTCGCCTGGCCAAGTAATTAAGTTCTTTTAGTCAATGTGTGCTCATTGATGGTTATTAATTTTTGTTTTTCTTCTCTGCATGGTGTGTTGCAGGCTTAGGCTAGTAAGATTTTGTATGCATTGAATTTTCCTTGTACATTTCGTATGTTTTTAGGAAATATATTATTCTCATTCTCATTTCGTCACATAGCACGAAAAAGAAACGAACCCGTTGATAGGTTGACATCACGCTTATTATTCGAAGGTTCTAGTTGTTTAAATATATATTTTTTTCAATCAGGCTTTACGTTTTGAGTATGACCAAAAGCTAAATATTATAATCAACGTTATTAAGAAATATAAATATAAGTAGGCCTTATTATTACATAGCGGCACAGAGAATGAACAGAGGCAACAACGGCATCACGAGCCATGAATGAAACCATTTGAAACCAATAAAATTAATACATTTAGTTTTGTAACTGGAACCAGTGGAACAGCAACTGTGACAAGCAGGACGAAACAGCTACTTAAAAACGCTAGTGCGCATGTGCGGGTCTGTGTGTCATTTCTATAAGTAGCAGTCAGTCGTGAACAAACTGTGTTCGGTTGCCGGAAAGCTGACTGGAACGGAACAACGGAACGTCACACTCGCACCGGTGGAACGCTGAAACTGGAAGGATAACCAGTAGTGCCACTACTACGCCTTTAGAGCGTTCTAACGTTTAACCAAGAGTTATACTATATAAATAATTTATACATTTTATTGTTATTGTTTAAGACTCTGCCATTTTAAGGGGAATAATCAGACGGGTAATATCAGCAAAACATTTTAGAACCTTAAACAGGTTTCACATACACACATCAACCACTACATCTGTTAATTTAATTTATGGTAGTAAGATTATTGGTTAACTCAACTTTTCGGAAAACAAATATGTGTAATAATGTATAATCAATAATGTGTGATGTCAAACAGGCAAACAGACATCTGCCCTTATTCAACTAATGATCAGATAGTTTTTAATGTACTAGTACATTACCAGAGAAAGAAAAAAAAATTGGCTAGTCATTCATTATTCAACATATGTTTAAGAAGTGGTTAAAATCTCACCTGTTGATTATGCTGCTGTTGTTGGTTGGGTGCCCTGTTGTCGGGCATCATGTGAGGCTTCTTGTTCATACTCATGTTGTTGTTCATGTTGCTCATATTGCTCATGTGTTGTTGCGGGGAGGGGGCAGGCATGGGAGGGGAGGGAAGTCCTGTAGGTGGAGAGTAACCACTGTATCCCCCTCCATATCCTCCATATGCCCCATACATTGTTTCCTGTTCTCCAGCCCCCTAAAAAAGTTAGTGTTAAAAAACAACTGTAATTGGGTCTTGAAGCATAATAAACTGTATTTCATTAAAAGTTACCGTAAGTAGCATTTTTCAGCTAAGTTTTTTTTTTAAAGAATTAAAACCTACATTAAAAAGAATTAGCGTGGCAATTGAGGAAATGTGAAAAGTTGCAAGCAAGGGAAAATAAGAGAAAAGTAAAAATTGATCAGCTGATCGCTTATCCGATAATTTTTAAAACGATAATTTTTTGACAATGTCACTGAATAGACCTGCTAGAAAATGTCAGCTCTCAGTTTGATGGGAGTTTCTACTGTCCTGCTCAAACCTTCTATCTATATAAATAAAATTAGAGTTTTGTCTGTACATTGCTTAGAATAATGAACTTTTTGGTTATTTTTACATTTCATAGGTCAGAGAAACCGAATCAAACCTTATCTCAATTTCTGTCTGTCTGTCTGTCTGTCTGTCTGTCTGTCTATCTGTCATTCTCTTGGTAACGCTAAAATACGCACTTTATTACAACTACTCCTCAATAACTATAGCACTGTCCCGCCTGAAACTTATTTTCCAAATACTATACATATATGAGATGGTTTTAGACGTATTTCATCGAATATGAGACAGTTAGATATTTAACAGTAAACCCTTGAAAATCAAGTTTTTGTCGATTTTTGACGTGGAATTTCTGGAAGCCCATGTTAACCTTATGAGAAATGAAATTATTGAATCTTAACAGCTGTTTCAATTAAACAAGTTGGTTCTGTTCTGTGATGTTCAATAGCATTAAAGTTACAAGGATTACCAACAGGGTGCAGCACTAGCACTATTATTTCTTTTACATTTATGACAACAGCTAATTTGCAACCTGGAGGCGAGTGAGCGTAGCGAACGAGCTAACCTGAAGGCAAGTGAGCGTAGCGAACGAGCTAACCTGAAGGAAAGTGAGCGCAGCGAACGAGCTCCAACATACAGGTGAGTGAGCGTAGCGAACGAACTTCAACCAGGACGTGATTGAGCCATGCAAACGAGATCAGATAGTAAAAATAAAAGTAAGCCTACCGTTATAGGATCGACCGGCAGACACAGAGGTAATTTAACCTTTTATTGATTGTCATACCGATCCGGAACAACAAAAAACAACATAAAATGAAGCTATGTATAATAGTTTGGCCAGCATATCTTAAAATATGCAAACCAACTGCTGTTCTTTATATAAGAAGGTTTCAACTGAATATTATAAGATCCCCGTGCGTAGAACGGGTACACAGCTAGTAAATAAATGAAATTTATATAGTTTCATAAGAGTTCATACAATTTAAGGGTTTGAAATTGCTTTGATCCTATAGTAAAAAATTGTTTTTGAAAACAACAGAGCTTATATTCTGTAATAAAATACTTACTTTTGAAACTAAGCTGGCCCGGTAAGCTGCTAAAGCTTTTAAGTAATCCTTTTTGGCTGCTTCAGTCTTCTTCTTATATACCTGAGGACAAATGTAATAAATAAGCTTAATGTTATATTATGCTGACTACAGAAATTAGGAATTAAAGTAAGAAAATAAATTACTGTCAATAAAATGGCTGGTGAAATATATCAGATTTACATGTGTATTCTCTATGTTAGTTCAATAGTTAACTAAACTCTTTGCAAAGTTTATAGCAAACAAATTGTTCACAATATGTGTGCATTCAATTATGTTAAAATATAAAAAAAATCTCTACCCGCATATTTCTGTGCAGGTAAGGCATTTGAAATTAAAAGCTTTACGATTAGCATTCACTTTTGGCCCTTTCAATATTTTGAATGGTTGTGAAATCCGGAAATATTATAAATGGTGTGGAAGATCCATCTCAAACACTTATGTATGTTTACATTATTTACAAACTCCTCACAAATTCTTTTATAACGGGAACACATTTCTTTCCCTCAAGCGAAAAGCTTTAGAAAAGTCTGCAGTTCTTTTATTAGCATGTGAATAAAGAATGAGTTCAAATAGATTACCATTCCTAAAAGAGGGGGGAAGCCTCCTATCTGTTGCTTATTTCATCTTTCTCTCTTCTCCCCCTTTAAACCCCCTTACACACACATACACCCCTTCACACACACATAGACTCAAAACATCCTTCTGAATCTTTGATTATATCTTACATTGAAATTTCTTCAAAAGGTGCATTCAGTCCTCCCTTCCTGTTTTACATTTCTCAATTTCCTTTTCCCTCTTACAGCATCCTTTGTGCATTCCTTGAGCAACATTTTCAGTTGATCTTTGTCTTTAAACACACACTGAGCAATGTTTTAATTAAGTGAAGCGTTTAATAGCCAATCAGGATCCTCCTCAAAAAGTCAAATTCTTCTGACCTTTTGATCGCTCTCACATTCGCTCTTTATATTTTCTTAAGTACACTAGATCATTTAAACAAAATTTTAATCTGTCTACTCTATATGAGTATTAAATAGCTTCAAGCTGTCATCCTTAACAATTTTGGAAAGTTAATAAATTCTGAATAAAGATTCAAGTGGGTTTACTCTCGTCAGTTAGGAGTGGGGGGGGGGAGCAAGCTGGTCTAGTGGTAGAGCTCGGGGCGCTGGAGCTCAAGGCCCCGAGTTCAAATCCAGCCAATCACCAATGGATTTTATCCATGTGATAATGCCCTCACCCTCTATGACTACCCTGAAGTCTGAAGTAATGTTTAGCTATAACCTAGCGTCCTATGCACGATAGTTGAGCATCCTCTCTTTTATTCTACACCCTAATTTATAATCATCCGATAACATCCTAGAAGAACAAAATGTTTAACATCGTCCAAATTTCAATTGTATAAAGGTGAAACACTACTCCTTGTTTTACAAAAAAACTATTAACTATATTTAGCAACATATCTAAAGATAAAACCATAATTGCAGTCCATTATAAGGATTTTCTTAACTACTTTCAAATATATTCATGAAAATTGTAATTAAAGCTTGCTAATTCTAGGAATTACAACCCCATTAAGGAGGGAGGAGAAAATCTTGGTGTTAAGTCGGTAATTACGAGAGCAAGTGATGATTAAGAGTCGTATTAAAACTGCCATCATTACGACAAAATAAACAGTATCATTCCAGTTACACAAATATAAATCTCTGTGGTGATAATTCTGTTGACTAATGAGTATGAAATGGCAACAAAATATTTTTTAAAAAAGGCATTGCAATATTTTTGTTTTGTGAGAATGAATTTATACAAATTGAATTGCCAAAGTACTGTATGTACTTCCCTGTGATCATATTTGGCAGTAAGTTATACTGTCTTTATGAAAGGTAAATTATAAAATAAATATTGTTATAATGAGCCAAGTTGGTATTATTTTTGAGTTTTTTTAGAGTCCATTTAATCTTTGAGACATAAAAATAAAAAATGCATTAGGCATTTAAGATACAAAGACTTTGAATAAACGGAGTAGAGAAATACAGTACATTATAGTTGTTGTACTGATGTATTTATGACAAAATATTGAGACAAAACATATACTGTAGACTTTTTTTCATAAAAAAATACACACACACACATGAATTTACAGCTCTAGTTCTGTAGCCTATTTTGATCCCCCTAACCAGTAGTTTGTTTATCGCCAAAAAACCTCAACCAACTCTAATTTTTTAGATGAAGTTATTTGAATGAGTGTAGAATGGATTTAAAGGAATATTTTAAGGCCAGCTTTCCTCTAATCACTTTATTCTTCTTCTTCTAAAAAAAAAAAACTGGCTCCAGTTTTAATACAAAAATACAATAGTCACATGTTCACTTGGGTTTCGTTAATTTCCAGAAACTTATTGTAGTTTTAAGCAGAAGAAACTTTAGAAAAGTTCAAATAATAGTAACAAGATGTTAAAATTACAAAAAAGAATATAACTGATGAAACACTTACATTTTTGTGATCTGTGTCTAGTGCGTCCCACATGGATGCGACTATTTTGGATACTTCGCCGAAGCTGGCGTTGGGATTCTGGCCTTTAATTGCTGCTTGGGTGTCTCGGAAAAACAGTGCGTAAGCAGACACTGGTCTGAAACAAGATACAAAATTATAAGTTATAAACACATTTCAAACAAGAAAAACAATACTTGTTGGTAAACTCCCCTGTCAACGATGTGATCTCATCAATAAAATTGTAGCGTGAAAGGTACTTCTAAATCTAACTTAGAGGCTGATCCATCAAAAAAGGACGTTAATGCATTTAGTAAGCCTCAATCACCAGGCAAGCAATTAGAGAAGCTTTCAAAGAGCTATAAATATCCACTGAAGCAATCCTGTATGGCCTATGCAGTCTCTCAGCAAAAAAAAAAAAAAAACGTCTTCACCAACACAACACTGGAATAAAAGCAAATCAATTTCCCTTTTGAAATACATCACTTGAACTTTTAAAAAAATATTCTAGGAAGGAGCATTCTTCTTCAGTCATCATCCCGAAGAATTTAAAAATGAGATAATCTACGGACTAAAAGAAAACTTCCAGGATAAAGCACAGAAACTTAATTTAGAAATAAATGGTATTGGTACGCACACTTAGACCTTAAGAAATAAAAGGCACACATTTCAACAACCTAAATTACAGACACATCATACTTTCCAAAGAACTTGTGAATTATGATAAAATATCTTGTATCTAGTGAATTTCTTGTGATGTTTATAGGAGTGGATGGTGCAGAAAGTGAATGAGGACAGTTAAGGAAAAAAACAATAATTTACTTCCTTCCCAGTTGGTTTTTCTCAAATATATATCCTAGTTCATAGATTCCACTCATACCATTGCAGTCATTCTGTCTGTGGCAGTTCAAAAGATTGAAGTGTTTAAATGTTAAAGTTGTTGTATTGTTGTGCACTAAAAAGTTTGCAAAATCGTTATACAGCAAAGAAAGAGCTCAGAACGAGGGATGAAGTTACATTATTCATAACAATCTGTGATAATGTGTAAGAAATAATCATGTAAAACCCCACACAATTGGATTTTGAATACATCATTTGAGTCATTGTCAAGTAAGCGATAGTCAGCCTCTATCAGAATCAAACTTCTTCTATTTCTATTGTTCAATTACTCCTATTTTCCTATTGTTCGATAATGAAACGGAGGAAAAGAATAACGAACACATAAAAAAACTACAAATTTACATTTTAAGATATTATGACTTGACCTAGACCTAGACAATTAAATACTCGTACATTTTCTGTATTGAATGACCAAATTTGATTTGATTTGAAAAATAACATTAAGATGATGAAATCATGAACAAATACTTGCTAAAGCTAAAGGTATAAAGATTTTTGATATAAATACTCATTATCTTGAAAGCTCTTTCAAATAAGGTGTTTGTTGTAAAGTATTTGAATGAAACATTGCGCTGGTGTGAATACCTTTACTGTTTTCATTCGTGGTTGAAAAATTACTGAATATTAAAATATTCTCTCTCGAAAACTTTTGTTTACTTTTGCATTCAAACGGGTTTTTAGAAAAAGTGATCTATGAAATGGACTTTTTCATTTGTGTTCACCTTCAACTAAAAGTTAGTGCTATTAAAATTTTCATTTGTCGAGTTTCACTAATGTAACACAGATTTAAGCTAAATTCAATTAATGAAGTAAGTTTATATTTTTGTCTGTACAATTAATTGTTATTACAATAACCGATTTCAAATTTTAATTTCAAAGATCGCGTTTTTGTCCACACATTTATTCATTTTAGGATTATTTAATAAATACCCTCGCCTCAGCAAACCTGCAGACTAAGCGAATTTCCATATGTCTGATTGGATTTACACTAAAATGTCTACTTAAAAATTTAACATTTATTTCCTATTTAAATAAAATTAGTTTAACAGGTACTTAGGTTTGCTGCATCAGGGAGGGTAAAACTGTTTTTTTTTGTAAAATGTTAATAGTTAGTAAGAAATAAAAACATTTTCCAAATTTGATCAAAGTATGTTCATAAACAAGCAAACTACAACAGTTTACTTATTCTCCATAAGAATAACATGGGAATTTAAAATTTACATTTTTTTGGAATTTTCTCCGTAACCATTAGGCGCATAGTAACACTTCAATATACTAAATTATTTGTTTTTTTAAGCACTACAAAATGGATTGAAAAGATTTTGCAAAATTTTATGTTTTTTGGGTCAAAAATGGGAAAAACCTATTTTTACCCCATAGAACCCCCCGTAAACCCCCGTTCCCATAGTCCGATCATGCTGGTTCGCGAACTCGTTCAAGTTTATCCCGCCTTACACCTTCAAACCAAATTTTATCAAAATCGGACAAAAATTACTCAAGTTATCGTGCGGATGGACACACACATATATATATATATATATAAATATGAAAATATATATATATATATATATCTATATATATATATATCTATATATAGATATATAAAAATTTGAACGAATGGTGTTTTTGGCCTCTGGGGACATCAAAATGAAAAAGTAAATCGGTCCCGGGCCTAGGTCTTACCATGAGACCTACGGTAATAGCTACTTCCCTATAGGGAAATTCGCTAAAAACGTGGTTTGAACATTGATTTTTAAACATTTTGTTTTATTTAGGCCTATACTGAATATTTCAAGTGACTAGTGGTTACTCTATCTGTTTTTACTTAATTCTACTGTTTAACTAACTACTTTAAATGCATATGATAGGCTATAGGCTACATCATAAGAGAAACTATTTCAATATGTACTCGAACTCATGAAAGGATACTTTGCTTTACAAAATACATTGATACAAAAATAAAAAAAATTAGGTAAATATAAAAATGATTAAGTAGTTGGTTGGTTTTTTGTTTCGTAGTAAAAGTATTTATTTTATTAAAGCAACAACCTAAAAAAATGAACGTTAATGTGATAGATGACTGAAAATTATGACCAGTGTATACTAAGGATGAAAAGCGATTGTAATAATATTTAACTTGTTTTAATTGTCATACAAACGCTTAACAACACATTGACCCAGTTTTTATATCACTTTACTCAAATTAATTCCATTCTTCAAATTTAGAAAATCCACACTCACATCGCAAGGCTAGAAGTCTTAATAACATTTTATTACCTTCTCATCAGCAGTTTTTTCTCTCTAACAGATTAATCCGTTTAATGTTTCTTCGGGGATTGTATTGGATAGGAAATGGGCAAACGGGATCGGACATTAGTTCCTGCACAGAAAATTGCAAAGTTATCGGAGGGAAATGAGCCGTAAAGGCAGCCAGTTCAGGCCATATGTTCTTGCCAATCACCAATCATACTTTTGTAATAAATTATGTTTTTCAGTATTGGGAACAACGTTTTGGGTTAGAATATCTTGGAGTTAACATTTTGAATTATTTTAGGGCATTTCCACTATGACGAAAACATTTTTTCTTTATTTTAGCCATAAACAATACAATAAAATTAGTATTTATTTACCAAAAGTTTCAACTTGGTGAGTGCACTTGTGACAATTTTCTGAATTTAATATTCTCGTGTTACTGTATGTAAATAAAAAAAAAACGTCCCTATTTGTTATAGTTTATATAACAATTATCATTATAAAAAAAAATTATATTCAATATTTTCACAAGATTGTAGTACTGCTTGTATATTCTGTATTTGACCAGGGAAAAATATGGATTTGTAAAAAAATTTACAAATAGTCGGCCTACTTATAAATAAACGGATGTTTTTTATTACATGGATATTTAGAATTTGAAACATGGCTTCAAAAAATATTTATTTAGCCAACATAAAACATATTTTCAACTGTTTGAAGATAATCTCATTAAATTGATTTATAACAGTAAAATAATTTGTTATAAGTAGAGTGTATTTTTTCTAAAAACAATATTAGACATATAGGATTAATAAGATTCTAGTAAAATCCATATCCAAGGAACTGTATTCCACAACTACTAGAATATATTGACAAATCTGTTGAACACTTGTATTACAAACATATTACAAATACAATAAATACCTATTCAATAAAAAGATTGTAAACTAAAATATGCTCTAGGCTGTATGCAATTTACAATAATGTATTCTCTTATTTAAATGGAACAATTTGGATAAAATGCAGAGTTGGAGGATTGATATCTTTTTGAATACTCTTTTGATCATCGCATGAAGATTGGATCCTTGTAAAGAGCATCAAAAAGAGAGTATTAGCATTCTTCTCCGGATCAGAAATGTATCTTTCAATCTGAGATATGCTTTTATAAAAACTGTTATAAGGGCTTATAAAAACCAAACTAGTTTTTAAAAAAACCTAACAAGTTTTTATAAAAACCAAACTAGTTTTAATGTTGGTAAATTAAAAATATATCTATTATAAAATATGTGAAAATTAATTGATAACATTTTATTCAATTATAGAAGAAAAAATATTATACAAGTTTAAATTTCGCTATTTATATAAAGTATGAAATTTGCTTAATCACACATTTTTATTAAATTACGCAACAATATTTAGAAAAAAATAGCAGCTCATTGTAAAAATAGTTAATAATACGAATAAAATAGTAAAATTTATTTAAGAATATCTTAATCTTGGCAAATGTTTTGTTTTTGATTTTCTGTGTCTCCCTGTTGACAACTAAAAGTAAATGTGATAAAATTACATTAATACTATTGAAATAGCTAATAATTTGAGTTTATTTGTACTTTAGTTCTTGTAACAATAACTATAACTATCATAATAATATCATCCGGAGGGTTTACTAAGGTTTTCCTAAAGAAGAGATTAAAATGATTTGAGAAGTTGTTATTTAACTTTTAGAAGTAGTGTATTTAGCATTTTGATGGATACAAGTGTCAAAGTAAAACAAGACTACTTAGGCCTACTATGCAAGTTTTTGTTTTAAAATATAAAATTCCCAATGCATTCTTTTATAAGGAGTAATGGTTTTAGATATAACTCTCCCGAGGATATATAAATTTAAATTATATACTTACTGTAATTAATTATACTGCAGATATAAAACTTGTAAAAGTAAAAATTTAAATTTTTACAGTTAAATCAAAAAAGAAAACAACAGTA